GTGGGACTTGATCCTAGGACCCTGGGATCATGACCTGAGCTGAAGGCAGATGCCTAACTGACTGAGACATCCAGGCATCCCATCTTTCTGTTTTTTAGATTGGATAATTTTTATCTTCAAGTTCACTGATTCTTTATTCTTCTATCTAAAATCTCTTGTTGAGTCCCTTTAATAAATTTTTCATTAAAGTTATTATACTTTTAAACTCCACAACGTTCATTTGATCCTATTTTAGAATTTTTTTTTTAAGATTTATTTATTTAGGGGTACCTGGGTGGCTCAGTTAGTAAAGCGTCTGCCTTTGGCTCAGGTCATGGTCATGAGGTCTTGGGATCGAGCCCCGTGTCCCTCTGCCAACTCCCCCTGCTTGTGCTTTCTCTCTTTCTCTATCAAATAAATAAATTTGAGTTTTTATTTATTTATTTGAGAGAAGAAGAGAGAGAGAGAGAACATGAGTGGGGGAAGGACAGAGGGGAAGAATCTCAGGCAGACTCCCTCTGATTGCAGAGCCCAACATGGGGCTCAATCTCACAACCCTGGGATCATGACCTGAGCTGCAATCAAGAATTAGACACTTAGCCGACTGAGCCACCCAGGTGCCCCCCCATTTTGTTATTTCTACGTCTTTGTCAACATTCTCTCTCCTTTTGAGTCACTGTCATAATACTTTCCTTTAGTTCTTTAAACATGGTTTCCTTTATTAGTCTTTGAACATATTTATAATTGCTGCTTTGAAGTCTTTGTTAAATCCAACATCAGTGTCCACCCAGAGACAGTTTTTATTTACTGATTTTTTTCTGTTGGTATGGATTATATTTTCCTATTTCTTGGCATGTTCCATAATTTTTGTTGTTGTTAAAAATTGGACATGTTAGATAGTATATTGTAGCAATTCTGGATTCTGAATTTTCCCTTAAATGTGTTGTCATTGTGTTTTGGTTTTAATAACTTATGTAAATGCACTTATAGAATCTGTTTACTGTGTGTGTGTAAACTGTGTGTAAGCTGTGTGACTGCTGATGTCTCTGCTCAATTTGTTTTTTAAATTATTGTTCTCATTTTTAAACCTGAAATCGTAGGAATCACATTGTGCTTGCATAGATTAATGACCAGTCAATGAATGGTGACATATTGTATTAAAACAAAAGCTTTCACTCTCTGGCAGTAGATCTGTATGTATGTTAGGGAGGACATTTAAAGTTCAGGTAACTTTTAAATATATACATTCTGGCTTTGCTTACCTCTAGACTCTCTTGTCTGTCCTCTACACATGAACACAGGATTAGTCAGCCAGTGATGTGTGGATAACTTGAGTCCCATCCAGTTTTTTCTATGCAGGCACATGGAAAACTTTTGAAGGCTTCCCATGGTGGTCTTATTTCCCAGATCTTCCTATTAAATGGCTGGCTGATCTACCAGTCAGCTGCTTTTTCCAACCATGATTGGAACCTGAGGCTAACTGAGTTGCTGGTCTTCCCTTGTTTGTTTACCACTTAGATTGCTAGTGTTTCTCACAATGCTGCTGGATGTGAAGTTTTAACATGTTCTGCTCCAAATCAGGTCAGCCCCCTCTGGCAGTGAACATTCTGATTGTCATGCCTTTTTCGATTTTGATAGAAATACCTTATAAACTGAGCTGGGGGAGGGGGAGGGGAGAAAGCTAGGCAGAATGCCATGTAGACTTCCACTGTTCATACCTAAAGTTCAGTCCTTTTTTTTTTTTTTTTTTAAAGATTTTATTTATTTATTTGAGAGAGAGAGAATGAGAGAAAGAGAGCACGAGAAGGAGGAGGGTCGGGGGGAGAAGCAGACTCCCTGCTGAGCAGGGAGCCCGATGCGGGACTTGATCCCGGGACTCCAGGATCATGACCTGAGCCGAAGGCAGTCGCTTAACCGACTGAGCCACCCAGGCGCCCAAGTTCAGTCCTTTTTTATGAATAACTACTTCGCAGTGTAGTGTATGCCTTTGGTTGATTTTCAGAGCCCTGAATGGGTTGGTTTTGACACCTGTATCCAGTTTTATCATTGCTTTTTGAGGAGAGTAACTGCTGAAATACTCACTCCATCATACTAGAAGTCCCACCTCTACATTGGTCATTTTTAAAAACTCCTCAGCAGATTCTGGTGTGAAGCCAAGGTTGAGAATCACTGGGCTAGGGTATGATGACAGGAGGATGAATGATTTCACTTCATTCAATAAACATTTATTGAACACCTTCGGGCACTGGACATAATGCAGATACAAAGATAACTAAAACTATCCATCTCTATGAGTGGTCATAGGCAGTGAGAAAGATAGAGAAAGTGATAATGCACTAGAACCCAAGCATATAGGGATGGGTGATGCAGGGTTTGGGAGCAGTGTCAGCAAAAAACAATGCCCATAGCCCATCATTTTTCTGAAACATGCCAATAGGTTATCACACTTTCGGAAAGTGATATAGCCAATAAGCAGATCCCTACTTAATGTAAGTATGAATAAAGTTACTCATCCTGGGGAACTAGGACAACTTCCCCCAAATTGTATGTTGACTACAAACATAACTTTAAGGAACTAGCATTTTATTTCTTGTAAAATTTAATGAGTTTTTTAATGCTATATTTTCAACTGAGCTGTGATGATTTCATAACCTGTGAATAAATTCAGGAATAACAAGTCACCATGGGAGTCATTACAGGCAGTGTGATACGATATTATGATCTCCAAAGTGGGGTGACCACAAAGGCAAACCATGGAAAGAAAGATAGGAAGAAATATTAGCACTACTATTTTTTTTAAATCAGATTTTGTCTTTTTTTTTTTTAAGATTATTTATTTGAGAGACAGAGATAGCGAGAGAGAGGGCAGGAGCAGGGAGGAGAGGGAGACGCAGACTCCCCACTGAGCAGGGAGCCCAACACAGGGCTCGATCCCAGGACCCTGAGATCATGACCTGAGCCGAAGGCAGATGCTTAACTGACTGAGCCAACCAGGAACCCCTCAAATTTGGTCTTTAAAATGTTTCTATTGACTGAATGTTTCATAAAGTGTGACTATTTATATGGCAGTATTTGCATAGAACATGTAAATAAACATATGTAGGTGGCATGCCCCCTACATATGGAATAATCACCTCCTGGCACATTCTATGTAATAAGTGCATCATTTCAAAGATTCATCTTAAAGGGAAAATGACAAAAAAGGAATAACACAACAAAAAGAATGACAAATCATAGCTGTTCCAATGTAAATAAATGTTGAAAATACGAGCTCATGAGAATGACTGTAGATACTAGAATGAAAGTAAAGAAAAAAAGAGCAAAAACAGAAAAGTGAGAGCAAAATGAAAAAAATGAAAATATTCTATAAATAGGAAAAAAAGAAACAAACTCCAAAATTAATTTTATTTTGCATGGTAATGAATTAAAGAGGGGAAGGAAAATACCACTTTAAACTTAGACCTGTATTAGCACAGCCTGTACTCTGTAATCTGCTGGGGAGATAGAACACAGTCATTTTGCTGCTGCCCGGAACAGGCAGTCAGGAATAAATTTCACTCAGCCTTCCAGTTGTTAACCAATCCTCAAGCTTGAATTGAAGGTTCTAACCTTTAATTTTAATGCTGATCATACACTAGGACCTAGATATTCACCCTAGGGAAGGAGCTAGTTAGTGGGAGAGGAAGATGTTGGCTACTGTGTTCTGGGGATCAAAGGCAGTAGTCCACCCTATACCCCCAGGCCCAGAACCACTGCACCCCCCTGTACTTTCTAGAAGCCCTACAGTTCTGTGCTACTTGTTTAGCAGAGGATAGATTTACCTGCATTATTATGTGTTCCTTTTGCACTATGTATGTGTTTGGCCTGTCTTCTGCTTTTGATTTAGGTCATCTCTTTGCTTTTCCTAATGCTTCTTAAAGATTGAGAAATGGTCAGGTTTGGATGGTTTGGAAGGTTTTTCTGTTTCAGCTGGGCAGCTTGCTCTTCCCATGCCATATCACACACATGCTTCACTTTCTTCCCAAATTTTCTCCAGACAAGGGAACTTTTTAATACTGTTTTATTTTAGAATCATTTCAAATTACAAGGGTAGTACAGAGTTCTGGTAGAGTTCCCTATTGTGAACGTCTTTCATTACAATGTAGACCAGGGGCTTTTAACATGAGTCCATGGATTAATTTGAGAGAGTCCATGAGCTCCTGAAATTTATGCCCACCTGTATATATTTGAATGAAAATGCATTTCATTTCATTCAAGAACTATGAAGATTAAGACGGATTGTACTTTTGATTTTATCAATCCTTTTCTGTAGGTGCAATCTCGGCTTTCATGTTTTCTGCCATGTAATACATTTTTTTGTTTAATTAGAACACTGTCTACCTCCAAATACACATTTGCACAAATGTGCATGGGTGGATTTTTGTGTACAACAGAACTGACCAAAGGGTTCTTTATCACACCCCTGTAACTTTCTGAATTACTTAACACTATGTGTTCACACAAAATATATTAACTCTTGTTTGATGAACTCAGTGTTTCTTCTAAGAGAGGAGTCTGTCTACACTACATAAAGGCCTCAGAGTTGAACCTAGGGGTCCTGCATCAAAATGGTTTGGTGGAGAAGGGCTCCCTATCCAGAACATTTTATATTTTATCAATCCCCTGAAAAGATTTGGATAAAACCATTTTTATAGACTTCCTAAATTTTGAACATTAACTTAACAGCAAAGAGTATTTGGAACTATTACAAAAACACTGCTGTTTTCCCTTGAAACTTTCGGGGTGGGGGTGGACAAAGCTATGAAATTACCATAGACCCATTTTTTTCTTGTGTCTATATAGAGTGCATTGTATGAGGTCTTTCTCACTCCTCTTTAGTTCTAAAGATAAAAGATATTATAACATCAGAAATCTAAGATTATGTGAAACCTCCCCCAAGTTAAAACTTCCCTGTATAAGCATTTTTGAATATTTTCAATGCAATTTTTGGTTATTACCTAATGTTAGGGGTTTTGTTTCAGACTTACAGATTCCAGTCTGATGTTAGAAGATTATTCATCGAAGTTGAGCCCCCAAGCAAAGAGAGCAAAGAAGAGCCTTCTCTCTGGGGAGGAGAAGGAAAATCTGCCAAGTGACTATATAGTGCCCATTTTCTCAGGACGGTATGTATTCATTCTCTTCCTGGCCTTAAATATTAGAAAGTGAAGAGTAAATGTTGTCAGGTAATAATAATAATTGCCTCTGACATTTATTGAACACTTAACTACGTGATGATTGAGAAAGGTCTGAGGAACCTTGGAACGCCGCACTGAGGGAGACATGTTCATTGTGAAAATCTGCCATCACCTAGGATGGCTACATGACAAAAGAGAATGATCAGGAACTTGGTTCTAACTATGTAACTGACTGAAATTAAGAAGGAGAGCATTGGATGCTAGTGATTGGACACTATATATAGTCACTAGAGGAGAAAGAAAGGTTCAAAACCATAAAACATTGGATGAACTAAAAAAAAATCAGATGTTATATTTAGGCAGAGGGGAGCCATTGTGGTTGCCAGTGTGGTTTCAATTATTATTTATTAGGAAGAAAAAAAATCTTAGATAACATAGACTAAGTAAAAGAATGGCATCATAATTTGAATGCCTGCCTATTTGCCTGTATTTGTTTAATGTGAAAAAGATTACTATTTATCTTGAGGCAAACTTCAAACAAAATAATCACAAAATTACAAGTCCATTAATGCCAAATTTCTGTGTTTATAAGGTAAATATGTGTGTATGATCTTTTTTAAAAAATATAAACTTTTTTGGAATGATTATAATATCTAGAGGAATCTTGAAACCTGTTTGAGACACCAAATTAAGATTTAATGGGAACCTTCAGAGCCTTCCCTGTTTATTTTCCTTTGAATGGAGAACTATCCACAGAGCTGAGGTGATACTCAAAATGAGGGCTTCCTCTCAGGGCAGATGCCATCAGGAAATTAAGGAGGCAATGACGTGGTTGTCATCGTTGGTGACCTACTTCTGTTTCCCTGTGTTTTTCTTCCCATTCTTCTCTGATAGTTTCTTCTGGAATTGTTTCAGAAGCTAATGTCATAATTGCTCTGATTCCAGTTAGGAAGGTGAGGGGGTAAATAATATGCTATTTTTAGCTTTCTCTTTGATATCTCTGATTTTTTTTTAAGTGAACTTTCCATTGAAATATGCATATTTTGCTAAGTAGGCTTACCAGACTTAGCCTCTCCACAGTTAGTTTAATATACACTGACATTCTTTATAGGGGATGGCTAGGCTAGAGGAGTAAAATATTTTATTTTCTGCTTTGTTCCCAGCCCACTCTGTTTTTTTAAAAAAAAAAATATTTAAAAAGCACATTAACTTAGCATTAACCTACATGGCATACCTCTCCATCTCTTTACCACATGAAATGAGGCTTCTTGCTTTCAGTTGGTTTTATTTCTAGTTCTCCTTTTTTCCTTTTTAAAATATGGATCCAAAAAAAAATAAAATGTGGATCCATCTCGTATATTCTACTCTTATGTTGAAAATAACACTTCATAATGGTGTTGACAGTATTAACAATCTAAGAAGAAGATGGGGGAAAAATGAACCTTTGTTGAGTACCGCTTGTTTTCTGAGAATCTTACTAGATGCTTTATATAAACTATTTTGCTAAGTCCTCTATACAGCTCTAAAGATGTATTAGTATACCAATTTATGGACAAGGAAATTAAGACTCAGTGACTTGCTGAAAGTTACGTGGCTGGCAATGGAAGAGCTGAGTCTGCTGAGATTGGCCAATGCAACATACAGTGCACTCTGTGATTATAGTGTATTTCTGGGAAATACCGTTTCTTCTGGATGGCACTTGAATATTTCACTTCTTGTACTCACATAAATTGAGTTAACTTTGTGTCACCAGCAGGTTTTTGAGTTGAGATAGAGTATTGGGGAGGCGTGAAATTCATCTTAAATTTGTAGCTGTACGGTTTTGTCAGCATGTTAGCGTATTTTTGCTTTTGTACCCAGATTATAAAAGGGTTATCACTGACATACACTTATATTTACTTAAAGAAAAATATTCCTCCTGTCCTGGGTCAAAATATTTTTTAAGTGTATTTGAGATCTCATGTGAAATAATTACAGTCTTCCTGAGGTTCAGCTTATTTGCCATGGAAAAGGTAAGGAGACGAGGACTTCATTCTGACCTCTAGAACTATGTCACATTAGAGGTGATGTGAGCTTAAACTTAAAGTTCTCTTATTTAAGAATTGTCTCAACTCAGGGCAAGACTAGCATTGAATAAAATCTATTATTATATCTATCAAATCATTTTACAAAGATCATTTCAAATCTCTCTATTATATATTTACCTCTATATGGAATTCCAGGCAGATTCTCATGATGGTTTGTCTTGTATTCACTTATTAATTCATTCACTTCCTATCTCATTAAAAAGAAATTAGAGATAATTATTTCAAGACACTAAACTGAAAATCTTCTATCTTCCCTTTTCTCTAAATTATAGCGGATATATTACTCACTTACTTAGTAAAGACTACCTTATTAATATTTGGAGAGAGAGAGATAAGGAAAAAGAAATTAAACTTTACTCACTGAGTTTAGTAAGAAACAAAGTAGACTAATCTTGTCTACCAGATGTTTTAGTAAAATTCCATAAGAAATTTCAAACTTGGGCAAATGTTGAGCCCTCTTTTCCAGCAAACTACACAGATTCCGGTACCAGAAACTTATAAACATAATGGCAGTATTTGCTTAAATTTGGAAATCATTATTCTTATAAGAAAATCAAAGGTAAAATTCAGCCTTCAGAGGTCTAAGGAGACTCAATTTCAAGAAAATCTTCAATATAATCATTATATTTCCTCACTGTTGGGCTTGACCACAAAGGTATTGAAGGAGGTTAAAAATAATCTACATGTTTTTAACAACATTAATAAATTATAGCACAATTTCTATCATAAACTACTACATTAGGCACAGCACTTTTGGATGTTACCACTCACTTGCCATCATCATTAATTATGAATAAAAACAAGTCACTTTTATAAACATCACCCCTTCAAATTAAATTTTGGTCATTTTTTTCTTATCAGGGCTATGTGCAAGCATAAATAAAGAATGTCATTAAATATGTTTACACACACACACAAATAACCTTTAAAGAAACCCAGTAGGCATAAGGATCTCATATAAATTGTGCAACAGCTCTGGGCAATGCATTATATCAGGTGAGTTATAGAATCCAGATCAAGCACATAGTCCCATATCGGAATCACAGGCACAGGAACAATATCTCATTTTATAATGTCATCTTTTCTGGAAGGAAGGTCATAACTTAATCTTTTATTATAAACTCAATCCTATTTAAATACCCTAAAGAAACCAATGAAATGACCTTAAGCAAGTTATCTAATTTCTCTGAGCCTTGTTACCATATGTCTAAAATAGAAATGATAGAGTTTACCTAGGGTTATTGCAGGCTTAAAATGAGATAGTGTATGTAAAGAAGCACTTGTCAACAGCATGGCCAAAGTAGATATTATTGTTGTTGTTACCATTATGGGTTAAGGTGATGATCACTTCTGTATGTGAAGAATTATCTCCTGATTTACTAGGTTTTTCTTTGTCAGGTTTTCTTTGGGCATGATACACAGTGTCGAAGTTCTGATACTTTGAACTTAGTAAAAATTAGGCAATCCTATCACTGCCATCCACAGTAGCCATGTTTTGCTCTTATTGTATTTTAGCCAAGTGCATGTCAGTGGAATTACAGATACGGAAGAAGAAAGAATTAAAGAAGCTGCTGCTTATATAGCCCAGAGGAATCTTCTTGCTAGTGAAGAAGGAATCACGGCATCCAAACAGTCTGCTGTATCCAAACAGTCGGCTATATCCAAACAATCTGCTTTATCCAAACAGTCCGCTGTATCCAAACAGTCCTCAGTATCCAAACAGTCCTCAGTATCCAAACAGTCTACGTCCACTCTTCACCAGGAGGAAGCTTTTGAGAAGAAGTCAAGGAAAGTAACAATTCGAGAGAAGGCAGAACGCCTGTCGCTGACAAAAACAGTAAGAAAAGACAATTTAATGTAATTTACAAACGCAGAGATGCATGTAACATTGCCTGTGTATGTACATATAGATTTATTTGTTTTGAATGAGGAAATATGTAGTCTTCTGGAGAAACAAAACTAAAGAAAACAAGGAGAAAGACATCAAAATGTATGGGTCAAAGAAAGACAGACTTAGTAGTTTCAAACTCCATGAAATTTTAGGTTCTACAGAACTTATGGTTCTAAAGAACCTTAAGAAATCCACCTTAGGGGAAAGTAAAATATGTTGCTGAGATGTTAAAAATTAAATGTATCTTTTTAAAAGGGGAAAAGAGGGGCTCCTGGATGGTACAGCTGGTTAAGCATCTGACTCTTGATTTCAGCTCAGGTTATGATTTCAGGGTCCTGGGATTGAGCCCTGGGAGGAGCCCTGAGTGGAGCCTGATGTGGGGTTCCATGCTCAGCACAGAGTCTGCTTGTCCCTCTCCTTCCCCTTCTGCTCCTCCCCCTCCCCTTGCTAAAATAAATAAATAAAAAATAAATAAATGAAATCTTTTTTAAAAACGGGGAAAAAGAGAAGGCCTTTGGTCTAAATAGAAAAGTAAGCCTCCAAGTGGAAAAATGATAATTTGGGTTTTTATTTGTTATTTTAGCAGCACAGGTTACTTTGATTTCATAATATTTTTATATATTTTTTTATAGTTAGAAGAAACTGAGGCATTTCACAGAAAGTTGAATGAAGATCATCTTCTCCATGCTCCTGAATTTGTCATTAAACCTCGTTCCCACACTGTTTGGGAGAAAGAAAACGTAAAATTACATTGTTCTGTATCGGGCTGGCCTGAACCTCGTGTCACATGGTATGTTATCTGTATGAAAATTACTCATAGAATCTATTACACAAAACTAATTTTACCTCCAGTGAAGATATTCAGCATTGTGAATATGCAAGAGTCAGAAAGCACCTACAAGTTTGTACAGATTTTTTAAATAGTGAGGAAAGGATACCAGGATGAATATTTTATGAATGAGAAGAAAGAACAGTCTCATGTACATTATGATATATTATGATACTTCATAATCCTGTTATAAAAGTGGTCTTTATTGCATAAAGTATTAAAATATAGTCAACATACTTACATACAAAGAAAATACATGGCTATAACTGCTATGGGCCATAAAATGTAAATAGAAATTTGCTCCCATACAGTATAGGTATTATTTTGTGACCAGAAGCAATGCTCTTAAAAAGATAATTAAAACCCAGAAGGCTTCATCTCTACTCCTCACATGAGCTGAGATCTCAACATGCTTTCTAAAGCCAAATGGAAGAGGGAACCGGATGGAAGATATTACTCAATACGGGGTCTTAAGAAATTTTCTTTCCATAAAGAATAAGAACCCATTTTCTCTTTCTCATTGCAATTGTCAATGACTTGATGATCCCTAAACTCCAGACTTTCCTGTTATATGTCATGAATACCTGTCACAGACAGCAGAAGTATGAAAATGATGGAGCCAACCTAAAAAGATGTTTTCTGTTTAATTCCCTGACACAGGTATTTGGCATGCGGTTTTTTTATCCTCAGGAATGGTGGTAAATGCACCCTATGTTGCAGTATAAATGCCAATGGCAATGACGTTCTGTGTGGCATTTATACTGCAACATAGGGTGCATTTACCACCTGCAGAGGGCCTGACTCCTCCTTTCTTAAGGCCATTATTTTTGTTGGTTAGACACCTGCCTAGGACTAAGGGAGGTAACTGAGAAGGAACATATTTCAGTGAAAATGAAGTTTTAAAAAAGTCAATTTACAAGCTTTAAAGTATAAAGGTATACTATATGAAGCTAGGAATCAATCAGTCTTAGCCCCACCTTTCTCTGCGACTATGGAGTTGCATACTTTGTCCCATTAAAGGGATATTTCCTCTTAAGAAACTGATTACTTCCCACCTCATAAAAAAAATCTAAACTTTCCAATTGAAATGTGTGAAGAATAACAAATTTTCAGCTCTAATAATTATTTGGTCAGTAAGAAATTCCTCTTATGAATTAAAATGTACTCCTGATAAACGAATAATTGGAATCCTTAATCAAGTAGATTTATTTATTGCACAATATTCTTTTTTTTCCTGCTTTTTAAAAATTAGAGTTAAAGATGATTTTCAAAAGGATACAAAAGAATTTCTGGGAGATAAATACTAATCTCTTAAGCACTTGTTAAATACATAGCTGCTAAAATACAATACAACCATGCCATGTACCGCTGATGGTGTTACTGAGCCAGAGTGATGTGTTTTCACGAAGGGAGAGCTCAAACTCTGTTAGAGATTAAATTCCTGCATCACGTTTTGTTGGCTGGAAAAGGAGTGATTTAAAAACAAGCATCACTGATATGAGGAATTCTTAATCTCAGGAAACAAACTGAGGGTTGCTGGAGTGGGGGTGGGGTGGGAGGGATGGGGCTGGGTGATAGACATTGGGGAGGGAATGTGCTATGGTGAGCGCTGTGAATTGTGCAAGACTGTTGAATCACAGATCTGTACCTCTGAAACAAATAATGCAATATATGTTAAGGAAAAAAAAAAGATAGCAGGAGGGAAAGAATGAAGGGGGGAAATCGGAGGGGGAGACGAACCAGGAGAGACGATGGACTCTGAAAAACAAACTGAGGGTTCTGGGGTGGGGATGGGTTAGCCTTAGTGATGGGTATTAAAGAGGACACGTTCTGCGTGGAGCACTGGGTGTTATGCACAAACAATGAATCATGGAACACTACATCAAAAACTAATGATGTAATATATGGTGATTAACATAACAATAAAAAATTTAAAGAAAAAAATTAAAAAAATAAAAACAAGCAAAAAATATAAAGACTACCCACAAAAATATGAGATGACTAAATTGGCAACTCTTTGAATCCTAGTTAAATTGAAAAATAGAAATTCTGTCAATTTTCAGTTATTCTCACTAATGGAGCTGAGAAATAGTATGACTGGCTCCCTAAATCTTTCACATCTAGCTTTGAAATATTTTTTTTCTTAACATTGAGTCTATATCTCAGGGGCTCATTTTAAATAAAAATGAAGATATAGACACAAGATTTGTCTCAGGAACAATTGGGAAGCTATTCATTTACTGTAACAAGTCTTCTCAAGTTCCTGCATATCCTTTAGTGCTTGGAGGAGACAGCTCCATTCTTTATAAAATTCTCCCCATAGGGAGAGATCAGAGCATTTCACAGAAAATCCTATTGCCTTGCAAGCCAAGTGAAAAGTCAATATGAAAACAGAAGAACCAGTGGACCACTAAGAAAATAGTGAACCGTACTTCAGAGAGCAAGATTTGCCCTTGGATAAAGCTTAAATTTAGACAGCTAGCAGATAACTGAAAATTGGCTATGGCAGTAAACAAGGTCAGATCCAGGTTTTGTGGGGCATGAAGCTCATACAATTCGGGGTCGCTCTTTACAAAAAAGAATGTTAATAATATAAATTAGGCAGTGAGGGGTGCCTGGGTGGCTCAGTTGGTTAAGCGACTGCCTTCAGCTCGGGTCATGATCCCGGAGTCCCGGGATCGAGTCCCACATCGGGCTCCCTGCTCAGCAGGGAATCTGCTTCTCCCTCTGACCCTCTTCCCTCTCGTGCTCTCTGTCTCTCATTCTCTCTTTCTCAAATAAATAAAATCTTTAAAAAAAATAAATAAATAAAAATAAAAAAATAAATTAGGCAGTGAGCCTTGAGGAGACCCGTGCTGGTGAGAGACCTGAAGCTCCATTGGCCTCCAGGTAAACCCAGCCCTGGGAGTAAACTGTGTGTGGGACCAGTGTACCTTCCTGGGTATGCTGCCTTTTAAAAAATAATCATTAAATGAAGCTCTAACTTACTTTGTAACACTGGTACAGAGTACCCAGTCTTCAATAAGCATTTTCCCCCTCAACGAGCAGGAGACTCACAACCCAAGTACAAACCATGGTTTTTGGTGATTACTTTGCAGGCATTTATGTCTTTTTGTTACTCAACTGTAGCTTTCTGGGCCTAACACTGAGGACAAGTATGAAAGAAATAATTGGGAATGGCCTTCCTGAATAGAAGGAGGTGAATCATGGGAACAAGTTTGTGACGATGCTTTCTGCAGTCATGCTGCCTTGCCTTGTAGCTGTTAGGTCCTTAGCCATGCTTTTTCAAGGGCATGTGTGCCTGGGGCCTGTTTCCCTTAGAGCCCTTTCCAAAGAGGGTTAAGTTCCAAGTTTCCACTAAGCACCCTCGGGACATGGAAGTCCCTGAGGTCTAACAAATGATATGAACAGGCAGCAGCTGCTCTTTGGCCAATCCCGTGTACTGACCAAGTCTGTCTAAATGGAACCTAGAGGTTACTCAGAAAACACTAAATGACAGGAGCACATATCACTCATCAGGGCCAGGTGCAGAGACGCCAAGGGGCACTGTCCAATTCCCAAGTCACTTTGAGAGCAGAAGGAAACCTGTTTAGGCATTGGGTCCAGTAGAAAAATTAGTTGCAAGGATGCTTCTGCACCACCTCAGTGAAGCTGGCCATCCTGAAGGAGGGCTTTGTCAACACAAGAGGAAACGTACATATATATGGTGAAAAATGCCAAAGTTGTTTTACTTAATTTAATAGGCTGTATTTATATAATAACTTGTATAATAGGCTACATATTGGTTTAAAAGAGGAGGAAAAAGATTACATTTGTATTTGTTTTACTTGCATAAAGAAACCCTGGAAGGATTTGTAAGAACCCAAGGAGAACAGTTAGCTGTGGGAATGAGCTGGGTTGAAGACAGACGGGTTTGAAGGAGACTATTCCCTGGGTACCTTTATACTTTCTGGTCCTTGGACCATATAAATGCATTGCCTATTCAGATTTTTTTAAAGTATATGAAATAGGGGAAAAGAGAAAAGTTCTCTTTTAAGAAAGGAAGGAATTGAGTTAATTTTATACTTTTTTTAAAAAGAGACAGATTTAATTGGATTTCCAGTCCAAAGTCTAGATCAATTTTGTCAATGAAAATCTGGATTGTAATCTGTGGGGAGATTCATGCAAACTCACTGGAGCAATGTGTTGGTGTTAGTGAGTAGCAGTTCACTCATTTACTCACTCAACACCCATGTTTTTGGATCTATCTGCGAATACTAGGCTAGACCATCAAGCGGGACACTTAAAATACTTGTTTGGAATTCTTCACTTTGCCCCTAAAGTTATTGCCAAATAGACACTTAAAGAAATTTGTCATTAGGCATGATAATAGTTCAAAACCTCAGAATAAAATAGTAGAAGAAATGTACTTCAGGAATTGTCTGGAGATTTGGAAAAGTCTTATTCTGCTTTTGCAAATTATGAGAATTTATAAATTCCATAATAGAATCATACATTGAATTTATTTACAAGATTAGAGTTATTCACGATGTTATTTAATTACTACCATATTATCTTTGGAAAGCAACCTACATTTAAAATAGTTTAAAATTAAAATTATTTATAATTTATAATTACTTCCCAACATAAGGGTTTGGGGTTTTATTTTAGATTTTTCTTATTTATTTAAGTCCAAAATCTAACCTAATGGGTTAGATCTCTCTCAGCCAACTGGTTTTTAAAGTGGGTAATAGCTATTTATTAAAAATACAAAGTTGGATTCTAAGTAGTAATCACAGTTTGTGGTGAGATTCAGCATGTTAAAGATCATTTGGCATGCATTATTTGTTGATAGAAAAAAATCGAAATGCTTGGCCATGCTGTATGCTGCCAAAGAGCTTTCACTATAACCCCTTGTTACCGAGTCAGCCCAAGATTCAGACATTTATTTGGGGGAATGAAATCTGTGTTTTACATACATAAAGGAAGAATATTATCCTACAAATACTTACAGTAAAATGAAAGCTCATTAACTAATAAGTAGTTCATAAACTACGTGAAAGTGATAAGGAAAATGGTGTACATCTGAATAGTCACAAGAATTTCAGAAGCCTTGGGGCACCTGGGTGGCGCATTCGGTTAAGCCTCCAACCCTTGGATTTGGCTCATGTCATGGTATCAGGAGCCCATGTGGTCATAGGGCTTCCCCACTTAGCAGAGAGTCTGTGTCCCCCCCCCCCCCGCTCCTCCCCCTACTCATGCACTCTCTCTCTCTAAAATAAATAAATCTTAGAAAAAAAAAAAAGAATTTCAGAAGCCTTTTGACAAATAATCCCAAAGTGTAGGTTACTCTCCAAAATTAGCCTCTGACTAGCCTGTTTGGAATTTCACTTTCCAGAAATAACAAGCTCTGAAGAATATACAGAGCAGGCCAAAAATCTCATAGTGGAACATAGGCAGTCTCACAGTGACCCCAAACCTGAATGACTAAGTGAAGTTCTCAGAGAAGAGAAGAGAATTGCTTCTTAACTCAATCCGTGTGTGCTGCTTTACAACAGGCTTTTCTTACACTGCCATCCAGAGTTCCAGAGGAAAGACTCGAAGGTCCTCAAAGTGTTGTGTATCGTGTGCATGTACATTTTAAACCGACTTCTTATGCCAGGTGGTCACATTAGAAAAGTCCTGGGTATTTAGCTGGGGGGAAGGCATTAAGGTGCTAAGTGGGGTAGTGCTGAAAAGCAAGGAAGGTGAAGCGACCCATGGCAGCTACAAGATCCTGTTTTAACTCAAAGTTTATGGAGATACGAACATTTTTGGTCGAAGCCAAACTGAGTGTCACTAAATTGGTTGCTCAGGTACCACTTGCCATAGCCTTCGGTGTCACATTTCTCTCCTTATACTAAAAAGAACTACCGAAAACACCCCAGCTCATGCACAAACTTCAGCAAGAGGGAGCTTTTGAATCAAGTGTGAAATTACTGAGACCAATTTCTTCTGAGGAACATGCCGCTTAACTTGTTCTACCCTGTCATTCATCAATACAAGGAATGTTTGAAATTAGGAGCACCTAGCAGATTTCTTTTTCTAGGCCGTCTCTGCTCGAATAGCCCTGTCTGCCTGGAGCTCTGGTGAGACAGCCGGCCGAGGACACTCTGGGGCTGGCAGGGAATGGCTCGCCCTTCTGCCGTGGGTAGGGTAGAAGGTTGTGCCTCCCCACCTGCCACGCAGCTGTGATCCCCCAGCCAGGGCAACCCTCTCGTTTCATGTCGGAGGGAACCGAGACACAAAGAGCCTCAATTTACTTTCTTGGCATGTGCTTATTTTAAATTAGCCATATCATGAAGTACATGTTTGTCAGAACTCTGTTCCTTCATCCAAACATTATGAAGCCACAATTAATCTATTGTTATACAATAATTCTGTTCAAGCCAATTTAACAAACACTGAGTGCCTAATATTTGCCCACGACTCATCCTTCCTTGAGAGTGGGAATAGAAGTAAAAATGGATCAGACACAACCCCCATCACCAAGGCAATGACAGCTTAATAGAAGAGACACATATCCAACCATAATCTGGTGAATGTTCTATCTTGCAGCTTGAACCAAGTAACACTGGTATAGAGAGGCAGGAACAATTAATATTATGTGGGATTTCAGGGAGGAGTTTATTGAAGAAATGGCATTCGATCTGAACCTCAAAGGATGAGCTGGGATTTTGCTAGGTGTAGAAAGAGAGTGACACATTTTTAAAAGTATAGAAAATGAATATGTTTTAGGGACAAAGGGTGTGTGTGTGTAAGCTGGGGAGAGGAAGGAACTGACTGAAGATTATTTCCTTTCTTTCTCTCCCTTTCCACCACTTTCCCTGCTCCCATACCTCGTTATAAAAATTTCCAGAAGTCTGAAGAAATAAAATGCAGCTAAACAGAGTATATTTGGAAAATGGAAGGATCATATGTTGTCACAAGCTGGATGCTTGGTTTCAAATCCCAGCTCTGCTCTCTAGCTGTGTGAACTGGAGCAAGTTATTTAACTTCTCCATGCCTTGGTTTCTTTATCTGAAAAATGATGTTAAAAATAGGCTATCTCAGGCAGTTGTTGTTAAGAATTGAATTTTCTTCTTCTTTTTTTTAAAGATTTTATTTATTTATTTATTTGAGAGAGAGAGTGAGAGAGAGCATAAGCAGGGGGTAGGGACAGAGGAATAGGGAGAAGCAGACTCCCTGCAGAGCAGGGAGCCTGATGTGGGACTTGATACCAGGGCCTTAGGATCCTGACCTGAGCCAAAGGCAGACACTTAACCGACTGAGCCACACCGGTGCCCCAGGATTGAATTTTCTGATCTATGTGTAAAGCACTTAGAACCTTGTTTGGCTCATAGTAAATGCTCTGTCTCAGTTGTGGTTATTAGTGTTATTTACATTATCTGTGCACATGAAGTGGTGTGTCTGAAGGGAAAATAAGTGAAATCTAGCTCTTCTTTTGGACAGAAAATGGCTTCAGCAGAAAAGCCTGGTTGGGCATCATAGTCATTGGCTATTGAAGGCGTGAGGATGTGGTGAAGAATCAAGGTGCCACTTCCAGGCTCAGAAGATGGTGTCTCAGGAAGGGCCCCTCCATGTGGGCCTACCCTCTGAGGGCTGAGAGGCGTAACCAGGAATAGGACAGTCAGAAAAAGGGAATCTCTCAACTCTTATTTGTCAGACTTTTTCTTTCATGATTGATATTTAAGTTCTTCCAAGCCGAAAGCCATGCTTGCTTTTAACAGAACAAAACACTTAAATATAAGAGCTTTCAATACAATGACATTGTTTTTAACAACATGCAAGAATGTTAGTCGGAAGAATGTTTTGCTTTCATCCTACACAGACAGCCAACAATAAAACCCCCAACACATAGCCTTCCTTTCTGTCTTGTCAACAATGCACGAGTTTTTCTTTAGGTCTTTGATTGAAGTATAATATACACACACAAAAAGTACATATTACATATAAATGTAGAGCTTTGATGAGTTTTTGTAGACTGCACACACCCATGTCACCAGCACCCAAACAAGAAACCAAACAATATCAGCGCCCAAGATGCATCCTTCATATCTGCTGTCTACACCCCAGGGAAATCACTCTCTTGACTTCTAACAGCAGTAATTTGGTCTTATATGGGTTTGTACTTTATATAAAAGCAATCATTATACTATGTACTCTTTTTTTAAAGATTTTATTTATTTATTTATTTATTTGAGAAAGAGAGAGAGAGAAGCAGACTCCCTGCTGAGCAGAGAGCCTGACGTAGGGCTCAATCCCAGGACCCCAAAATCATGACCTGAGCCAAAGGCAGATGCTTACCTGACTGAGCCACTCAGGAGCCCCTATACTATGTACTCTTTTGTGTCTGGCTCTTTTCACTCAACATTGTGTATATGAGACTCCACCACACTGTTGTGAATGGTCAACTTCTTCAATGTAATTTTTATGATAGAGGAGAGGAAAGCACGCTCATCGAGAAGTTTAATTGTATTTATAGTGCATTTTATTTAATCTGCTGTAGATTTGTATTCATTCAACAGATGCTGCTGCAACCTCAGTGCTGTGTTTATGGGTGTCCCTTCATGAACAAGAATCACATGTGTGTGTGCTTTTAATCATAAAGCTTTTTCAACTTACTTTTCAACATTTCAACTTACTTTGCCTTGTTTCCATTGTCTCACAGGTATAAAAACCAGGTGCCAATCAATGTCCATGCAAACCCTGGAAAATATATTATTGAGAGTCGATATGGAATGCACACTCTGGAGATCAATGCGTAAGAGGATGTCAGGGTCCATGTGTGTCGCTTGACAGTTGCCTGGGGAGGCAGTCTCAGCAGTTAACAACCGCTGTCCCCCTTTCTTCCAAATGCACCATGGTCACAAAGTGGTCTTACGTTTGAATTTAGTAATGATGATAAAAAAATTAATTTGTACCTTATCCTTTTATATACTTGAGAGTTTTTCTTAGACATTAGTGGGAAAATAAGTTACATAAATAGGCACTTATATTTAGTTATCCTTCCCCATTCTAAATCGATATCATCAGCAGCATTATCCTTTTTTGGCTTGAATCAGCAAAGGCCATGGAGATTGTGGTGGGTGGCAGTGAAAGTAAGCTGCACCAGGATAAATTCTCTCCTTCAGCTCCCCAGGAAGTGTGGGAAACTATGCACCCACCCTGTCAGCCTGCAGATGGAAGCAGGACTGGACAGGGGGATGTTTTTAAAGCAAAATCCAAAGCAAAATTTGAAAGCCAAACCCACGTCAAAATTTCTAAGTCCTCAAACATTTAATCTATCTCCTAATATGGTTTTGAATGCAATTCTGGTAATGTGGATGAAGAAGTCCCACCATTTTTAGTTCACATGAAACCATGACATGCTGAGATGTCAAAGTAAAATTTACATTGTTCTGATCAGAGCAGGTGACACACATGATACTGGGTTTCAAGCAGGACCCTAGGGCCCTGGGACATTGTCCAAGCACTGACCTTGACCTAAAGTCACTTCAGTTCTGCCATTTGGTGGTTCTACTGAGGTTGCAGTGAGCTATGTGGTTGCTTTATAATTAAATAATTATGAGAAAGGCAACCATATTGACCTTCCTGGAGTTCCACTGATGTCCCTAAAATTCCAACGAGAAATCAGTTTTTAGAAATGACACTAAATCCAGAAGGTCAACGAGGAACACAGACACTGGTTGTGATAAGACACAAAACAACCTGCTTTGAAATCTTAGCTTGTTCATCTCTGTGAGATCATTCTTTCTCTTACTCCATTATTAAACCTCTCCCGATTTCTGTATTATAACTTGTAGGAACTTCTAAATGGCGCTGCTGTGCTGTGCTGTGGGCTGAAATTCCAAGTGTGACCTGAACCTTAGTTGAGTTGAGAGATAAACACCATATTTGTACTTTGAAGCTAGAACACCGAACCACACATTAGACAGACCTGCCGATCCGGTTTGTAGCTCAGGGAGCCTGCGGGAGTCCTGCAGGGGAGACTGTGTCTTTCCCTCTCTGTCGCCCTGTTGCCCCCAGACTGAAACTCTCCCCGAGGGAGGCTAGCAGGAAAGTTGTACCCATGGGGTGCTCTGGGAAGTTACCTGCATGGCCAGACATTTTCTGCTCCTGACACCACTTTAGACCAGTTAATCATAATACTGTTCCTGCTGTAATTTATGTGCTTAACAGTTTGTTGACATGGGTTTTTTTTGGACATTTTAAATGAACCTGGGCAAGGTCACAGTGCTGTAGGCGTCCTCCTCCCATACTGTGCTGCTGGCTTGAAACTGTAGTAGGTATCCTGCGTTATATAGAATCCCACAGGGAGCTGGATCCAAGTCAGCTTCATCAAAAGTCCCCCGAGCCACGTGCTGGCCAGTGATTTGTAGTGTGCCATGTTAACAAAGAGATCCTTGATAGAAGAACAGCTTGTAGCGATGGTCACTCATCTCCATCTGTCCTTTCAGATGTGATTTTGAAGACACTGCTCAGTACCGGGCCTCCGCGATGAACGTTAAAGGAGAGCTTTCAGCATATGCTTCAGTCGTGGTAAAGAGTAGGTTTGCTGCACTTGTTTTATTCAAAGTGTATTTTTAAAAATTTATTCTCATTGATAAAAAATAAATCAGGCAGCAGTTCACATGCATTTCTACTTTCTTTTCTAGGATATAAGGGAGAGTTTGATGAGACTCGCTTCCATGCTGGGGTTTCCACCCTGCCCCTCAGCTGTAAGTTTAAAAATATATTTGCTAAGTGTCATCTCTATTTAAAATACAGCAGAATAAGCCATTCTATAACGCTGAAATAAAAGAGAGGATTATTATAATATATGGTAGTATGTATATAATAGCTATCTATGCTGGGTTTTATTTTTTAGATTCTTGGTTACTATTCTCCTTCTGAATGTAATTGCTTCGTTCTGGTTTTATAAAAGCCCAGATATCATGGGCTAAAAATGGCAAGTGTTTTTAAGTCTTTCTGTATTAAACTGAAAAAGATCATTACACAAACCTGGGCAGAGAGATTTAACCATGCTCACCGCCCCCCCCCCCACAAGTCTGTCCTGTATCAGAGCATCCAGGTCAGCATCACCTCCTGGAGAAATTCATGTCTGACTCCCACTGCCACCCCCAAGTCGACCCAGTCAGGGTTAGGTGTCCCCAGGAGACCGCCGCACCTCCACCACGGCATCCATCACACTGGACACTGTTAACTGTTATGTGTCTTTTTCTCCCTCCGGGCTCCAAGCCACTTGAAGGCAAAGCTGGACCTTTTATCTCTAAACCCCAACGTCTGACACAGAGTAGGTGTTTGATAATGAATGAATAAATAAATACACTAATTTATGAAGTGCAATTTAAAATGAAATCTAAGGGTTCCTGGGTGACTCAGTCGGTTAAGCATCCGACTCTTGATTTCGATTCAGGTCGTAGTCTCAGGGTCGTGACATCAAACCCCATGTTGGACTCCACACTGGGCATGGAGCCTGCTTAAGATTCTCTCTCTCCCTCTTCCCGTCCTCATCTCCCTCTCTGAAAATAAATAAATAAATAAATAAATAAATAAATAAATAAAATGTCTAAATTTTCTTTAATAACAAACTATTAAAAATATTCTGATCTGTGTTAATTTGTGAACTTCAATCATTTCACCTATATCAGAACATCTTTTCATAGGAACCAATAAAAGTAAAACCCTTATGGTTGTTCAGATAATTCGATGCTTATGGTGATCAGACTGAGAAAGGTAGTCAAGCCTGAACTTATTTTCTGAACATTAAAAATAAGTGATAGTTTTGAAAATGCTTGAGGAAGATACTTTCTCATGGGTCAGTTTTTCACCTAACTGGTTAGTTTGATGTCCGTAGATGACCTGTTCCATCAATTTTGTGGGATGGCTCCTAATTTTAATATTCCAAGTTTTAATCTTTAGTATCAATGCCATGGGTGGGTGGGAGGGAATGATCGGTAGGAGTGAGGGAGGAACACACCCCAAATCGTGTTTTTCTCCCATCATTTGATTCATACTGAGATAGAATAGTTGAAAATTCTGAAACTATGACTTATCTCCCATTGTCCCTAAGACAGGTTTATTAATCATTTATTTCACAATCATCTGAATGTATCCTGCTCATTCCCACTGCTGTATCAGCATCCATATTTCTCCCATTTCTCTCTTCTCCATCAAACTAGGGTCTAAAAGCCCAGCTCACCCTTACTTCTCTAACTTCTTGATCTTTCAGATCCTCCTCTGACTGGTCCCTGAATTGAGTGCAGTTGTTCCCCACGTAGAAAACAGAGGACTTTTTTCATTTATACAACTAATATTTATTGAACATCTACTATGTGCTGGGTACTGGTTTAGGTGCTTGGAATATGCTGATAAATATCATAGATAAAGCTTCCTGCCTGTGGTTCTGTTCTGATAGTTAATATATATTGATCAGTTGTACCAGACAGCATACTAAGAGATTTTGTTATATGCAATGATCATTTAATGCTCTCCCAAAGCTTATAAAATAGGTATCTTTTATCTGTGCTATGCAGATGAGTAAATAGTTTTAGAGAGGTTAAATCATGAGACAAAACCACACATAATGGTAGAGTAGGGACTTAAAAGTTGGTCTTTCTAACTCTAAACCATATTCTATTTTTTTTTTTTTTGGTGGGGTGGGGGAGTAGAGGAAGAGGGAGAGAGAGAATCTTTTTTTTTTAAAGATTTTATTTATTTATTTGAGAGAGAGAGCACATGAGAGGGGGGAGGGTCAGAGGGAGAAGTAGACTCCCTGCCGAGCAGGGATCCCAATGCGGGACTCGATCCAGGGACTCCAGGATCATGACCTGAGCTGAAGACAGTCGCTTAACCAACTGAGCCACCCAAGTGCCCAAGAGAGAGAATCTTAAGCAGGCTCCACGCCCAGCACAAGCCGAGGCAGGGCTTGATCTCATGACCCCAAGACCGTGACCTGAGCCAAAATCAAGAGTCAGATGCTTAACTGACTGAGCCACCCAGGTGTCCCTCTAAACCATATTCTAAGACAGGAGTTGGCATTTTCTGCAAAGGACTCCTGTAATTATAATTTGTAAACTAACTGTAATTTGTAAATTGTAAATACATTAGGATTGTAAATACTTTAGACTTTGGGGGCCCTATGGTCTTTGTCACAACTACTCAATGCCACCATTGCAACACAAAAGTCACCATAGACAGTAGGTAAATAAATGAGCATGGCTGTGTTCCAATAAAACCTTATTTATGAACATTGAATTTGAATTTCCTATGACTTTGCCTGTGTCACAAAATAGTCTTCTTCTTTTGATTCTATCTCAACCATTAAAAAATTAAAAAATTATTTCTAATGGTACAAAGCAGGAGGCAGTCCAGATCTGGCTGACAGATTTGCCAAACCCCGACCTAACCCTTATTATTTTGTAACTCTTATCTCTACTCCCTAAGGCAGCTTTGGAGCCAGCCCGGCTTCCCAAACAGCAAGGTCTGATTGAATTGTTTCCCTTTCGATCTTAGTGGGACATCATCCTATAGAAGTGGGGCAGATGGAACCTGTGCTTCAAAGAGGAGTTGTTTCACTCTTGGTTAGTGGTTGCCAGAGGACACACAGATTCAAGGCAATATTATGGATTGCTGGAGAGCGCAGCTTCTGGAAACAGCCTGCCAGTGTCAATCCTGGCTCTACAGGGTCATTGTGGGCAGTTAATTCGGCCTCCCTATGCTTCTGTTTCCTCATCTATAAAACAGAGAGATGATAATGGAACTTACCCGAGAGAGCTATTATGAGGTTTGAGTTAATAGATATTTAACACTGGGAACAATACTTGGCACAAGTTGAACCAGTAAATTTTAGCTTGCATTTTCAAATTAATTCTAAGAGGTGTTAGGAGGAGAAATAAAATATGAGAGACAGGGCCTAAATTTTAGAGTCAGGCAGCTATGGGTTTGAATTTCAATTTCACACATAATACCTTTGAAACCTGGACATTAGCTGTGTATTATTTTTGTGAACTTCTCCATTCTCATCTGAAAGAGAAGGAAAAACATATCTGTGCCCGGGGGGTTTTGTAAGGATTAGACGACATGTCAAATTCAAGTACGTGGCATGGTAACCCGTTAACAGAGTCATTATTTTCCCAAGCTCTTTCCCTTCAGAAAAGAGAAAATAAAACCTGGGAGGGTTTATGATGCAGGTATTTACTCAATCTATAAGTAAGATATTTCTAAGAAAAATATTTTTTAAAGTCACAATATTATAAACTTTTCAGTTTGAAATTTCTTATTTTTTTCTCACTCAGATCATTAAAGACACTGAAGCAATAAATTTCTTTTTTTTTTTTAAGGCCTTTACAATTTATTCATGAGAGACAGAGAGAGAGAGAGAGAGAAGCAGAGGGAGAAGCAGGCTCCCAAGGAGCAGGGAGCCCGATGTGGGACTCCATCCCAGAACCCTGGGATCATGACCTGAGCCGAAGGCAGACGCTTAACCATCTGAGCCACCCAGGCGCCCTGAAGCAATAAATTTCTCCAATAAGTTGGAAAACTATTTTTATACTCTGAGGGATTGATCTGGCTGTTTGTCTGGAGAGTACAGCAGTTGAGTTTTAAATGAACTAGGAATCTAAAAAGTGCATATATTGTGCTAAGTATTTAAGTCTAAGCTAAATGTGGTATTCATTTACGTGCTGTGTGAGGTATTAAACCTGCCCCTTAAAATTCTATTCATTGCAATTATAAAAATAAATATTGAGTTTATCTGACCAATGAAGCAAGAATTTCCATTTCACATCATAATATATGGGAATGTGCTTTGTACTTCTTTATAAGACTTAATTTTTGCCCAGAGAGTTCGTTTGATCAATGTTTGTTGTGACTGCTTATTAAAATGCTAGTGTCTCTTTGATAAGAAAAAAACAAATTGCTGATGTTTGTTTTTGTTGTACCCAGTTGGCGTGACCCCTTATGGTTATGCATCCAAGTTTGAGATCCACTTTGATGACAAATTTGATGTGTCTTTTGGAAGAGAGGGCGAGACAATGAGTCTAGGCTGCCGTGTAGTTATCACTCCTGAAATTAAGCATTTCCAGCCAGAGATCCAGTGGTACCGAAATGGTGAGCCTTTATGATGAATTCTCACTTCGGTTCTTATTCACAGAAGGTGGCAGACGGGGCTTGACACCCGAGCACGAGCTTCCATAAGACCACAGACCTGTTTATCAGAACTGGCAGAATCTGGACATTAGAAGGCATAACCTACTGGATGTTGAAAGAGTTTTTATACATATATCAAAGTAGCAGAACTTTGATAATATATTTGTGGAGGTTATAATTTCTTATCACCAAGTAATCTGTGGAAAGGATTACAAAAATGCATTTTTATAAATTACTTATCTATTCATTTTATAAGTTAATTTTATTTAGTAAAATTAAGGGAAGTCCACTGAAGTCCAGTGGGACTATGGAGCATGGCCACTGACCCCTCGACATGGTGGGCAGAAAGCAGCATGCTCACCAAGCAGTTGGTCTGAACTTCAGTTGTGCACACAGGTACCTGGGGCAGTCTGGAACATCTGGGTCCAGACCGAAGCCAATAATGGCAAAAGCACTGTGGATGGTGAACATGGCCCTAGGGAAGAGAAGGGGCTCCAAGTGGGGGGCAGCATGGGAACCTACAGTCGGAACAGAGTCGGAGCTTGCCAGCCCAGCCCTCCTTCCCCAGAGCTCATTTCTGTGGCATCTGCACAAATACTAACTTATTGACCTGAGCATCCAGACAGGAACTACCAGCAACCAGGCAATAAACTTTGTCAGTAAAATATTACAAAATAAAATCACGTGTATAGACATTGAAGTAAAGCATATGAAGCAGTTGTTGGAATTCTTCAGAGTTGAGAATCCCTGGTATTGAAAACTGCTATAACAAGGCACAGCAAATATTCAGAGGCTTAGAAATGTAAATTAAGCTTAAAGATTGTCGCATTCAATGAAAAAGAACACTTTTCATATGAAACTGTGGATGAAGCAATTATTAATAAGGAAGATAATCTTAAAATTAATTTTTCCTTATAATTAAAGATACAGTGATAGAATGCATAAACAGACATTTGGATTATATACAAATCATCTTCAGTTTCTTGTATAACATCCACAAGTTACAGAACATGATAGAGAAAATATCAAAATATTATTATGTAAAATTACATTTAAAATTAAATTCAGACTTATGTGAAACTGATCTATATGAAATCAAATTTTTTTAGAAATTTTGTTCCTTAAGAATCATTAGCTCTAGAGTACTAAAATTTATATTTTGAAATAATTTATCAGAAAGTTAACCCAATGTTAACTTTATAAGAATTTATCTATGTAATGCTATATAGTATAAAACTATATGATATTTTTAGTATGTAATTTCTTAACAGCTGCAGTAATAGTTGCATCAGCAGAAAGATCCTTCTCAAAATTTAAAGATTATCAACTCATTTCTGATCTTGCATTTGTAAAGAGTGACTGATGTTACTTTTTTTTAAAGATTTATTTATTTATTTGGTGGGGGTGGGGGGATGAGGGAGTGAGGGGGGAGGGGCAGAAGGGGAGGGAAAGGGACAAGTAGACTCCGCCTGAGCACAGACCCAATTGTGGGGCTCAATTTCATGACTCTGAGATCATGACCTGAGCAGAAATCAAGAGTTGGCCACTGAACTGACTGAGCCATCCAGGTGCCCCTCAATTATATTGACTTAAAAGGAAGTTGCCAAAAGTATAAATCTGATGACCTAATAACTGAATTTGCAGAAAAGCAAGCCTGAAATATCTTATTATCAATCAAGGTATTACATTAATAAAAAATTATTTTTGTATATAAAATTATGGCATGAAAATATTTTTTTGCAATTTGTGTTACCCCAATTATATTTTATATATAGTAAAATATTTTTAGAGGAAAAAGCCTTATATTTTAGTACCTGTAACTGTATTTTTTTCTTTGCTTTTTGAACAGGGGCTTTGCAATTTCATTTTGCACTGGACCCTGCAGATTATATATTTGGCCCTGGTCCCTTCACTTCTGATACAGTATTTTTTATCAATATAAGCATGGCAGAATGTCTCAAAGCCCTAGAGACTTCTACTAACAATCAAATAGCTTTCAATATAGAAGAAGAAGCAGAGAGAGAGGGAGGGAGGGAGGGATGGAAAAAGAAGGGAGCAATGGGGGGAAACTGAGTTAATTTTCTTACGCTTTAAAAAAATTTCCAGGAGCACCTGTTTCTTCATCCAAATGGGTTCAAACACTTTGGAGCGGAGATCGAGCAACACTGACATTTTCTCATCTCAACAAAGAAGATGAAGGCCTTTACACAATCCGTGTACGAATGGGAGAATATTATGAACAGTATAGTGCTTATGTCTTTGTTCGAGGTAAGACCCAGCAAAAAGCAGAACACCCAAGAATGTTTAAAACACTGAGGCCAAATCAATCTATCCAGACATGTTTTTTGTAATGATGAAAGGTCCATTTGAAAATTCTTCCAAAATACATGGCATAGAGTTATTAACTTCCAGTAAACTTAGACCCAGTATAAAAAGGTTAACCCTGAGGCACCAACCCAAAGCTAACTAGCTTCCGACTGTGTTACTATCACTAATGTCAGGACTTTCTTTATCTTCACTGAGTCACCAGGGCAGCTCTCTGTAGATGTTCAAGGAGAGATGCTGCATCCCAACAATATAAAAAGCCATTTCAGTTTATGGAAGCTACAATAAAAGAGTGATGTGCTACAGGGGATTTACTCTTTAATATCTATTTCATGGAGCAAATTCATTATTTCACTCCAGACACCTTCTTTATAGTTTCAGCTTTAATGAACTAGGAAACAAGGTGCTACAACTTAATCCTTAAGGCAAACTGTGTGATTTTAGGAGTCTTTCTTTCTTCGCCTGTGGATTGGCTGTCTGCAAGTGGGGATGTTATTTCTACACGGGATCCCAGCGCATTTGGAAGACCATTGACACAGTCTTCAGGGTCAGTGTTCTGTGTTCTCTTCTGTGATGTTAGTCAGGTGTGACCACAAGAGGAGACACAGGAGAGGCTCAGGAAAACAAAGTTTATTACACTCACAGGTTTTAGCACACCACATAGGGCCACCTGGGGAAACATGAGCATAGGTTGGGTTGGTCAGGAGGCACAAGGGGCAAGAGGGAGGGGAGAGCTTAGGCCATGGCTGTTATTGGAGTTTCTGTGGGAAAGGCAAGGCAGGGCAGGATTAACAGTTTAGGACTGGCTAGTTTGAATCATTTTGGTACACTCTAAACTATAGGCGTGGTCCCTAGTGGCCTGCTACCTGGCCCTGGGATGATTAAGGCAGGGGAATATGGCCTCCTGGGGTGCACAAGCCAGATAGAGGAGGCATGGCTCTGGATTGGTCAGTTTTGCATATCAAAGGCATGCTCCTGGCTGAGCCCTTGCTATCTCTAAGAGTTGGCTAGCCCTGGGAGGGGCAGTGTCTCCCCAGTCAGAAAGGTTTTTAAGGTGTCAAACCATCATAATATATAGACAACTAAAATATAAACAATATAGGAGACTTACTAATTTTTTTAAATCTCTCATGCACTAAATAGAATCATAAACTCATAGGAAATTTTTATCAAAATGGAACTTTAGAGGTCAGGTGTCCTTAACTGGGATCCACAGACTCCCAAAGGGTCTATGATTAGAATTATATTTCAATATATTTAGTTTCTTTGGCAATCTCATGTATTTTATTTTATGCATTTGAAAGCATTATTCTGAGAAGGGGCCTCTAGACTTTCTTTGCCAGTCTGCCAAAGGAGTCTATGGTACGAAAAAGTTAGGATTACCATTCTAGTCTAATCCTTTAATTTTAAGATGCAGAAGCTGAGGTTCAGAAAAATAAAGTGATTTACCAAAGCCTCACAGTTAGTTAAAAGCAGAAGTGGACCTAGGATACAGATCTTCTGATGCCTAACCCAGGATTTTATAAATTTTTTTTTAAAGATTTATTTATTTATTTGAGAGAGCGAGAATGAGAGAGGGAGAGAGTACATGAGAGGGGGGAGGGTAAGAGGGAGAAGCAGGCTCCTTTGCTGAGCAGGGAGCCCGACGTGGGACTCGATCCTGGGACTCCGGGATCATGACCTGAGCCAAAGGCAGTCGCCCAACCAACTGAGCCACCCAGGCGCCCAACCCAGGATTTTAATTAGGGTATAAGCTAAGCTGATGAAACAAAAAAGCTTATTTCTCTCCCATGTCTGTCAATTCAGAAATAGGGGTGTGGTTCAGAGTCCCAGGTTCCATCTACATTGTTATTCCATTGTCCCCATGGTGCCATGCCATGTTCCCATCCCAGCCTATGGGAAGAGGAGAGAAAGGACGTGCAGGGGGAGATGCAGAGTTGCACACATCACTTCTGCATGGTGAACACTTAGCCAACACACACATCTCACAGTGAGGGAAGCTAGGGCATCATGTGTCCAGTCAGGTGGCCATGTTGCCTGCTGAAGCTGGCGCTTCTAGTACTAAAAGGAAACAAACAAAAAAATGGATCCTGGGAATGGTTACTAGCCTACATACACCCGCAGTCAAAAGTAATGATTATGGAATTCTGTCCTGGAACAACAACTGATAAAAATACATGAATATCTACATCATCTGAAAATGTGTCAGACTTTCTCCTACACAAAAGCCTAGTGGGAAAAGTCAGCTATCGCTGAGGGAAGAAAGATGCTAGCCTCTGGATATATCACTGTGAAGATGGACACACTGAAACTCCTCAGCAAGTAAGTTTGTGTAGACAAACCACCTGGATGAACCTGGCTAGATAAGGACAGAAAAAGCAAAGTGTTTGCCTCTGCTCCCAGTTGTCTTACCTAAACCAGACGGTGTCTCTGGCGACTCAAGAAAAAAACCTTAGTTACTTAGACCTTGGCAGTTCTTCCGTGGACTTTGTCTGGGAACTCTGACATGGTCTAGGGTTTTCTCAGTAATATTTCTCAGTGCCTGTATCCAGAATTGTGGCTCTCTGCCAGATTTAGGCCAGGCTTCACATTACTGACTATAGAAAGGGAGAAGGCATTGAAATTTGAAATTTATACTTAAGCTAGTTTTCAAATCCACAAAAGAAGGAAATGGAAAGATTCTAAAATTTATCAGATGTTGGTGTGAGAGAATTGAGAAGATAAATGGGAAAGACAAAATTGGGAAGATAAATTTCAGTAATTGCTTTGTGAACTTAAGAACTTTTAGAAAATATTTCACTTATAAGTTTATTTTGAATGATGTGTTTTAGATTCTTTTTTTAAAAAAAGCCTTTGTTGAGGTGTACTTGATAAACTGCAAGATTCACCTATGTTGAGTGGACAGTGCTTTCAGAATATTTACAGAGTGTGCAGCCATCACCTACCATCCAGTTTAAGAACATTTCCATCACCCCAAAGGGATTTCTTTGCCCATTCCCCACTGTCATCCCCAGACCAGCCCGTAGGCAACCACTAACCTACATTCTCTCTGTTGGCCTTCTCTGGACATTTCTGGATATAGTATTTGGACTTTTACATCTATCTTCTTTCATTAAAACATATGTTTTGAGGCTCATTTATGTTATAACACATATTAGCAGTTCGTTCCTTTTTATTGCTAAGTAGTATGGCGATGTATGGAAATACCTCATTTTGTCCATCCATTCACCAGTTGGGACAGTTGGATTGTTTCCACTCTTTGGCTATGATGAATACTGCTCCTATGAACATTTGTGTCCGTATTCATGGGTATGTTTTTATTTCTCTTGGGTAGAGATCTACGAGTGGAATTGCTGGGTCATATGCTAAATTTATGTTTAACTTTTTAAGAAATTGCCAACATATTGGTTTTTTGGTAAAGATTTTATTTTTAAGTAATCTCTACACCCAACGTGGGGCTCGAACTTGCAATCCCCAGATCAAGAGTCACATGCTCCAACACCTCAGCCAGCCAGGCATCCCAAGAAATTACCAGCATGTTTTAAATGACACTTCATGTGTTTTTAAAACTCTGTATATATTGAACTGCATAGGCCATTTCATTGCATTTTTAGAGTGCTGATATTTTTGCTGCTTAGAAAATAGCTTCTGAACCAGAACGATCAGTGTATAAAGCACCATATGTCTGCAGAAACACATTCCAGAGCTGCACATATTTGGCCAGGATTTAATTACATAGGTAGTGTGTGTTCTTTGTGAAAAAAATAGATCATATAAATAAGCAAAAAACAAAAAAGGAAAGAAAGAAGAAGAAAAGCTATTCCAATGTTACTATTTTATTACATATTCTTCTAGAATTCTATATTTTATATATTCTTCCCTCCCCTATCCTCTCCACCGCATAGAGGGAGAGAGATGATAAAGTGGCAAAGGATGGAATAGAAATGTCTTGAAAAAACAATTACAAATGACAAATAAATATATGAAAAAATTCCACTAGTAATCAAAGAAATGAAAATTGAAATGATGTAACATTTTAATCTATCATATTGCAAAGATTTAAAGGATTTTTAAAATCCACTGGGACAGAGGGATGGTGGGAATAGCACACCTGTACACTGCTGATGAGTGTTAATTGTTTCAACATTTCTCAGGATGTTTTGCTACTATGTATCAATAGTGCACATTTCCAACAATTCCAGTTCTAGGAACTTAAGTGGGCAAAGGTGAGAAAAATGTTTGTATTGGGAAAAACTAGAAGAAATCTAGATATCCATCCATGGGAATTATAGAATAAAGTATAATAAATGCCTCATGTAAACAACAGAATAACACACAGCAATGAAAACAAATGATGTGTATCTGTATTTATTGATATGGAAATATATTAACATGAAACTGCATAGTCCAGTCCCATTTTTATTTCAAAAACAATCATTTTTGAGTTCGTAAATATAGAAAAAAATCTAGAAACATCTGGGCCAATATGTTAGTAGTAGTTATCTCTGAATTATGGAATTAAAGGGGATTTAAACATATTTTTTGATTATCGTATATTTTACAAGCAAGCACTGCTTTTATACTAAAGATAATAGTTACATTTTGAAAAAAAGTTATAATTAGCTTATGTCAGAAGTCAAGATATAAAGAGTAGCAGGCTAATCTTTCCCCTAATTAATCAAATGTACAAAAACTTTGGCATTTTGGAGGGTTGGGAGAAAGGAGGGCACAGGCTAGGAAGAGGGTTGCCACGGATCAAGTGGGCGCTGCGGTCAAGCAGCCTGGAGCAGCTGCTGAGAGCCATGAGCATAGATGTGTCTCAACAGAACACGGTATTTGGATTTGGCTTCCAGCAGCTCCTACACAGAACCTGTTTTTAGAAAGACTGTTAAGCCCACCCGAAGAATGGCACGGTCCAGGCCATGTTATAAATATGCTGAAAAATGGCTCCCTGGATGCCTACTGTCTGCCGGGCTCTGTTATATACAGTGGATATTCAGCAAGCTAAACCGGGGATTCCTGGTTGTTACATCATGGGCCGTTAGCAAAAGGACATGGCTGAAGGTTGCCACCTGTCCCCTCCCAACTGAGCGGCTTTCCAACATCCCTCTTCTGCCACTTAGGCCTGTTAACCTCAGCATCTCGACCCCTTTCTAGCTCTGCTCTAACTTCACGGTCAGCAGGCTCGCCCCCCAATCCAGTGCTTTTAAAGCCTGAAAGCAAAGAAGTTTCTCCCCACCAAAATGCTTGCTTTTAGGAGCCATGATTTAGTTATGTTCTAGTAGAGCACTTATGCCAGAGAAGTTGCCTAAAACACTTTCCTGCAGGTTTTTTGGGGGCAAGAAACAGAATATTCAAAACCAAAGTGACTTGAGCTCTTCACAGGCAATGCAAACCTATCAAATTCAGAAGTGCACAAATATTTCTGCCTTATTATCAAATGGTTTAGTAATTCGTAAGAGTTACAGAAGTATAGCTCGTTGTAAAAGAAAAGTGTTTGTTCAGTCAACAGAAGTGTTTTCCTTGAGTTGAGTGGCTCTGACACATCTCAGCCTCCTGTCCGGTTAACTCTGGTTATGAAGTGGTGGACCACAGGTCAGGAGGAATTGGCACTGTGGACCCCACCTCCAGGAACCCTGCCTCCCACTTAAAAGGCTATTGACATTATTTTCATTCTCTTTGCTCTCCTCCTGAAAACATCCCTGGTTCACTAATTTAGCTGTGCCTGAAGACACTGCTGAGGAGACGCACTGTCAGAGGATCTCATTTCATAAATAATAACCGCCCTCTCCTTCTTGTATAATCCTGGACTTCTACTAAACTTGGATAAACAATGCTCAGATGTGGATATTGCATCAGAGTTCCTTTTGCAAGTGTCCTCAGTCTGGGAACAAACATTTGATTAAAGTGAATGTTTTCCTTTCTCTTCCAAAGTGGGAGTGCCCAGCAGAGGGATGGGCGAAGCTTCGTGGTTTGTATTCTCTTGTGATGCATCCATAGGGTGACAGAGGAGACCATGTGTTCCCCTTCGGCGTAGTTCGTATTTCTGAGTAACACTGCACACTAGATATCTTAAGAACAGACTTTCTGGCTCAGCTTCCCTTAGACTTTTCTGATAGCGATTTCTGACATCTCCATGTTTGTTTTCCTTCATTTTTTATTTTTTTAGAAGATTTTATTTATATTTGACAGAGAGAGAGAGAGCACAAGCAGGGGGAGCAGCAGAGGGAGAGGGAGAAGCAGGCTCCCCGCTGAGCAGGGAGCCCGACATGGGACTCGATCCCAGGACCCTTGGGATCGTGACCTGAGACGAAGGCAGACGCTTAACCGACTGAGCCACCCAGGCGCCCCGTATTTATTTTCCTTTAGAACATTTTGGGCAGGCGAAGGCCATGAGGCAAAGGTCATGAGTCCTTTTTATAGCCCTAACATTATGTTCTTTGTACTGATGATGAAAAGCACAGATTTTCATGTTGGTCAGCAAATTCTAAGATCGGAACTCGCTCTGCTTGGGCCAAAGATGCAGCCACTATGGATGTGGTAAGAAATGTGTGCACCAAGTCTGAGACTGCCAGACTCTGATGGATCTTGTCTGAGAGGCTTCAAGGGATCCTTCTGTATCTCCACAGACGCTGATGCAGAGATTGAAGGCGCTCCAGCCTCTGCCTTGGACGTGGTGTGCTTGGATGCCAACAAAGATTACATCATCGTCTCTTGGAAACAGCCAGCTGTGGATGGAGGGAGTCCTATTCTGGGATATTTTATTGATAAGTTAGTACTTAGTCTAGTTTCAGTTCAAAGGATTTGGCCATAGAGAGACATGCTTGATTTCTCCCACCATTTCTACGTGAAATATTTTCTTTTCTGATCTCCTCTCCCTCTTTCTCTTTCTCTCTCTCTATGTCTGTCTGTCTGTCTCTTTCTCTCTCTCTCTCCCTCCCTCTCCCTCCCTCTGCCTCTCTCTCTCTCTCTCACACACGCACACACACACCCATATCTATTGACCTAAATTCCAAAGATAATTTTTGAACTTGACTACCAATGCAAGTCACTAATTTGGCAAGAATGCTATGAATTTGTAGACCTTATAGAGGCCACTTTGGAAACAGCTGGTGTCCAATATATTTAATGTCCATATCCCTAGTATGTCAGTAATTTTAAAATATTAAATAATTTAAAGAATAATACTTTAGGAATACTAACAAAATCTTATTTATTTCACAGGATGTGGTTTCAAGTTAAACAAAGAAATAACAAATATCAATAGTATTAAATTATGTTCTTTCTACAAGCTTTTGCTATTTACATTCTCCAAAACTTAGAACCTCTGATATTTATAGTAACTGGGTCTTACACATTAATTATCCAGTGAGTTTGGACAATACATACAACAAATTTAGATTATCAACCTAAATACATTATTATCTGACTTAGTTTCTATTCAAATAGTTGCTCCAATTCTCTTTTCATTTTTCAGTAATAGAATCTAATTGTAGAAACCACTAAGGACATATAATCTGTGCCACTGTGGTACAACAGGTTTGTACCAAGGTATATTAAAACAAATTCTTATGGTAATAAGTAAATATATGCCCATTGGGCTCAATACCATCCAGAGAAATATTTATAAGTCATATACTATTTAACCATATACTAAATACTTCCACATTACTTTGTCATTTAGTACTGATGAACTGTGAAGTTTTTGGTAGATTCTTTTTCATCCTTACAGACTGCTTTATTGTCTTTGGCAGATTTCCAAGGGATTTGCAAACTTAATCAGTGTTAAGACCAGGGACAATCAGAAGTACATTTTGCTTAGTCATAATAAAAATAACCATATTGCAGCTAATATTTATTAAACATTGCCTATGTGCACGGCACTGTTCTAAATACATCACATACATTAACCATTACCCATAACCACCATTTGAAAGGTAGATACTCTTACTACAAGTAGGAAACAGTGGCTGGCCCAAAGCCATATGCTAGTGAGAAAACACTAAGTTGCCTAAATTTGCACAGGTAGTAAGTAGCAGGACTAGAATTCAAATATCAGCCTGGCCATATATTTGTGTTCTTTCTGCTCCAACATGCTGTAGACATCTCCAGAGCAGCTGCTTTCTGCCTTTCTTTCTGTGCACATGAGGGTTGGGAAGCATACTGTTTTATCACTGGATCACCGCGACAGCATCTGAGTAGGGAAAGAGGAAGAATCTCGGGAGACAGGGGCAGTTTGAAGAAATGTCCTAGGCCTCTCGGCTCCCTCCCAAACCCTACCCATAGCAGCTCCAGAATTTCTACAAAGACAAGATTTAAGGGTGGGAGTCAGGGATTGAAGCCATATTTCATAGCACTTTACATAAGGTTGAGGAAATGTCTATTATCTATATCAAAGAATGGAAGGGTGAGGCTGAGGAAGCAGAGAAACCTCTTGCCCTGACCATGTTTGCATTGCCGTTGGAACCCCCTCCCCCATGCAAATTGTCTGGGAATTAGACATTTTAGACATGGAGCCATGTTGGCGAAGTGACATAAACTAAAAGTTCAGTGCTCTGCTCATGAAAACTGATGAGTTACTTAATCCTAATGCTGTGTAATTTAATCACACGCTGAGAGCCACTAACCCCTGTCGATCAGGCCAATAGCATAATATGAACTGCCATCTTTGTCTCCCAGGATGTGACCACTCCACCCAGACACCGACTGCTGTAAAAGCACCTAGTTAGAAATCAGAGGTTCCAAGCACATAATCTCTCCCTGCCAGGCCTCAGAGTTTCCCTGCATCTCACCAATCTCATCTGTTCAGAAACACATATGTTACAATACTCTCCTCACCCTTCTGCCCACACAGAATGTAATGATCATCAAGTGGGCTCTTTCCAGGGGTGACTGGCTGGCTCAATCCTGGAGCATGCAGCTCTTGATCTCAGGGTTGTGAGTTTGAGCCCCACATTGGATGTAGAGATTACTTAAGAAAAAAAAGCACATTCTTTCCAAACAACAGTATAAATAGGTATATTTAAGGTATTAACTTTCTCAAACAGTAGTTTTATTTTTAAAAGAAAATGCATAAAGAAGACAAAGAAGTCACCAGTGGTAGAATTGAAGATGTCAGCCAGGAAGATGTTTGGGGGATCTCCCCGTCAGTCTCTCCAGTGTAAAGATTGTACATACCTACCTATTGCTGTGTCTGTTTTTCCCCCAAAGTTCTTCTGCTTAGCACACAAGGCCCCTCAGCTTTTAGAGAGTTTAAAGGAAGTATGCATGTTTAGGAAAGATCTAAGGCATTTTTATTATTAAAGAATACACACTGCAATTGAGTGGAACTAAGTGCATGCAGTTAAGTAACTATTGAACTACGCTTGAGCTGGGTAGGTTATAGGGAGATCTGAAGCAATTGGGTGGGTTTGCAGCTTTGGAGCTATTAATTTAGTCATACTTGTTTTAATATTCTTTCTGATCACTCTCTTTCCCTCAGGTGTGAGGTGGGTACAGATAGCTGGTCTCAATGCAATGATACACCTGTGAAGTTTGCTCGTTTTCCAGTTACTGGGTTGATAGAAGGTCGTTCTTACATATTCCGAGTTCGAGCTGTGAATAAAAATGGAATAGGTCTACCATCTAGAGTTTCTGAGCCTGTGGCTGCTCTGGATCCAGCTGAGAAAGCTAGACTTAAAAGTAAGCATCCTTCAATTTTCAGGATCTTGAACCTTCTTTTTTTTTTTTTCCGTAACTACACTAGATCTCATTGCAAGGTTATTCCTCCCCCTTCCACTAGAGGGAGAAGAGAATAGGAAATCCTTTATCTATCAGAAAATCCCAGGGGAAAAAAAAACCAAAACCAAAACCAATTTGTTTTTAGACTTATGTCTTCACTAAGGGCTTTGTTTTTTGTCTTATTTTTATTTGATTCAGAAGACTTTCCCTTGTTAAACTGAGTTCTGGGCATTCTGTTTGAAATGAAATATGATAAAAGCCTGGGAAGCATTTTTATTCATTTTATTAGCACACTCCAAATATACTTCTTTTCTTTTAATTCTTAAAATTATAAGGTAAATTTCTTAACCTAGAATTTGCCCCTTAGAGCATTAATACTCAACACAGTGAGTTTCTTTATATCAAAGGAAAAACACATTTACAACATTATGTCTCTATACTTGAGTTACCATATTAGACAATCAAAAATAATCTTTTCATGTATTTAAACTCCAAGTCTCAATGTCAAAACCATGGTACATGAATTATGCTCTGCATTTGTTTCGTGGGAACCCATATGCATCCTCAGTAATAGGGATCATAAAATGACATTAAAAGATTGTTGGAACTTAACACTTCAGACTATACCAGATTTTTCAAACTTGACCCTATTAAGACATTTTAGGCCAGGTAATTATTTGTCATAGGGGGCTGTCCTGTGCATTGTTGGATGCTAAGCAGCATTCCTGGCCTCTACTCACTAGATGCCAGTAACGTCCCTCCTCCCGCTGTGACAATCAAAATTGTTTCCCGGCATTACCAAATGTCCCTGAGGGGCAAAATCATCCTAGTTGAGGACTACTGGTCTATGTCATATTTGCAGTGTTATTCTTTACTTAGGTACATGTATGGCATCATAAAAAGCTAAGTAAAATACCTTTTCTCTGGAGACTTTTTCCAGTCAAGCTCCTTGATTGCCCTCTGATTATTTTTCGCCTACTATCTGATTTCCCTACCTCTTTCCTAATTCCAGTTCATATTTTCATTCACTCCTCTTTTATAAATTCCAATGAAAGTAAGATTTGAGTTGAAAATAGGTTATCTTTCATATCCTCTTTCTGGTTTTATACAAGCTATGGTGAAAATCTGTTGATAAAGCAGGAGTTGAACCATTCTCTCTATTACTTGTGGGAACACAGAAATGAATTTCCTCTTCAATGAATGAATGAATGAAATGAATTTAAATGGATTTTCCTCTTTTCCTGCTCATGTCACCCATTTTCCATACTCCAGATCTAAACTGGTTTCCTTTGCAGATAACACTTTTCAAAATATAATGGAAAGAAATTGCTTTCATTGAACTGTACTGTAGGATTAGTCTCTCCCCCTCCTCTTTTGGCTTCATTAATGCAGTTAAATAACTACTGGACTTGTAATTGTTCCAGAAACATTTCTGCCAAATACATGCTATCTCTTAAGAAGAGATGAGAGAACGTACATGTTTCCAGAGATCTGTATTGAACAGTAAATGAACATAGGTTATTTACCTTGCTTGTGAAAGTATAATTCCAGAAATATTGACTCCAAATAGGTGGGCTCTGTGCTCTGTAAGATTGTGGGTCCCTTGAAGACACAACACCATATATATGCTCAGTAAGATTCATTAGGAAAATATGTAAGTAAACTAGTATCAAACCAATTTGTGACTGACTACTATGGCTAGTTTATGAATGCAATTGAAACCGCATTTATGAGTTTTGTGATTTTTACATTTATCTCTGTTCAGGTCGACCTTCAGCACCCTGGACTGGGCAGATCATTGTCACTGAAGAGGAACCTACAGGTAAAAGCTCAGTTTTCCCCAGATACTGTTGCCAGTGTTTTTGCCATGTGGTTTAGCCTTTATTATGGAGGGTACAGTGTATATTATTTAAGATGTTTTTGGAAAGAACATTCTGAAATATTTGGAGATCATAAAGTAGCTTATATTTTTAGAGAATCACTGTTTTTAAAAAGAAGGTTTATTGAGGTACAATTGACATCGAGTAAACTGATACCTGTAAAATGTACAATTTGACAAATTCTCCATGTATATACACCTGTGAAACTGTCACCATGATCAAAATAATGAACGTATCCATCACCCCTAAAATTTCCTCATGCCACTTTGTAATTCCTTTCTCCTACCTCTGCCTATCTCCAGGCCTTCACTGATCTGCTTTCTGTCACTCTAGTTTGCATTTTCCACACTCTTAGATAAATGGTATCATACTCATTTTTCTCTGGTTTTCTTCACTCAGCATAATTATTTTGAGATTTATTCATGTTGATATATGTATCAGTTCATTTCAATATTTTTATTCACTCACTGTCAAAAGCCTCTATGAACATCCTTGTTAAGTGTTTGTATGGACATATGCTTTTCATTTCTCTTGGATAAATACCTAGGAGTTGGACAGACAGGTCATGTGGTAGGTGTATGTTTAATTTTTTTTTTTTTTTGGTGTATGTTTAATTTTTAAAAGAAACTACCAACTGTTTCCAAGATGTTTGTACCATTTTATATTCCCATCAGTAGTATATGAGTTCCAGTTGCTCCACATTGTCACCAGTAATGGTATTTCATAGTGGGAGCATAGTGGTTTTAATTTGCATTTCCCTAATATTGTTGGACATCTTTTTATGTGTATATTGTCATTTTTGCCTCAAATTTGAATCTTTGCCAAATCAAGTTTACTTAGATATTTTTCCTGTTTTTTTCCTAGAAATGTTATAGCATTAGCTCTTAGATTTCAATCTATATGCTCCATTTCAAATTAATTTTTTCTATATTGTGTGAAGTAAGGGTCTAAGTTTTATTGTTATCATGATCATTTTGCATATGGTTATCCAATTATTTCAGCAGTCAGTTCAAAAGTTACCCTTTTTCTGTTGAATTGCCTTGGCACCATTGCCAAAATCAATTGGTTGCATATTTGTGGATCTATTTCTGGAATCTCTATTGGTCAATTTTATTTTCTCTATACCAACAACACTCTCTTGATTACTGTAGCTTTAGGTTATTGTTGTTGTTGTTGTTGTTTTAAAGCTTCAGAGTCTAAAATAAATAAATAAATAAAATTTTAAAAAAGCTTCATAGTTTTGAAATTAGGTAATATTAGTCCTCTATTTTTCCCCCAAAGTCATTTTGGCTATTCTGCCTTTGCATTTCCACATAAATTATAAAATTAGCTTATTAATTTCTATAAAAACCCTACTGGGACTTCAACTGATGTTTTATATCCCATCTTCTTGTTCTATCAATTGATAGAGTAGTGTTGAAATCCCTGACCAAATTTTTTCTTCTTGTAGTTCTACCCTGTTTTGCTTCATATTGTTTGAGGCTTCGTTATTACATGCATAAACATTTTAATTGTTATATCTTCTTATGAACTGACCACTTTGTTATTATAAAGCGACACTCTTTATCCATGGTAATGTTTTTTGCTCAGAAATCTACTTTGTCTGATACTAATATAATCATTCCAGGTTTTTTTTTTAATTAGTGTTAGCATGGCATTTGCTTTCCATCCTTTTACTTGTGACCTACGTGTGTCTTTATATTTAAATTATATTTCTTGTAGGCAGAATATAGTTAGGTCTTGATTTTTCATACAGTTGGGTAATCTTTGCCTTTTTATTGGAGTGTTTGACCAATTTACATTTTGTGTGATTATTGATATGGTTGGATTTAAATCTACCATCTTGCTATTTGTTTTCTACCAATCTACCCGTTTGTTTCCCTTCTCCTTTTTTTCTACTTTCTTTTGGATTGAGTATTTTTTTTATTATTCCATTTTAGCTATGTTATCAGCTATAATTCTTTGTTTTGCATTATAGTAGTTTAGAATTTTAATATACATCTTCTCACAACCTCCTTCAAGTAAGATTATACTACTTCATGTACAATATAAGAACTTAAAACAGTGTTATTCCATTTCCCCTTTCAAGCCTTGGTGCTGTTATTTCATGGATTTTATTTGTGTATATATTAGAAATTGCACAATACAATGTTATTATTTTAGTTCAAATAGTCACTTATCTTTCAAAGAAATTTAAAAGGAAGAAAAAACTTTTCAATATTCACTCACATTTTTATCACTTCTGTTGTTCTTCATTTCTTTGTGTAGATCTGGATTTCCATCTGATATCATTTTCTTAGTACCTGAAGCATTTCCTTTAATATTTCTTGCAGTGCAGTCCTGCTGATTATGAATTATTTTATTTTTTGTATGTCTAAGACAGTCTGTATTTCATCTTCATTTTTGAAATAGATGTTCACCGGTTATAGAATTCCAGATTGACAGTTTTTCTTTCAGTACTTTAGAAAGGATGATCCATTGTAGCGCATATCTGCACTATAAGAATGACTATTGTTATTCTTATTTTTGTCCCTCAGTATGTATCTTTTTCTCTCTGCCTGCTTTTAACAGGTTCTTTTTATCACTGGATTGAGAAATTTGTGATATGCATTTGTGTTGTTTCCTTCATGTGTCTTGAGCTTGGGGTGCACAAGTTCCTTGGATCTGTGAGTTTACAATTTTCATCAGCTTTGGAAAATTCTTCACCATTGTTTCTTTAAACATTTTTTTTCTGTATCCCCTTCTCTCTGCTGTACTTCAGGAACTCCAATTACATGCCACTTGAAACCACAGATCACTGATGCTGTGTTCATTTTCCCTTTCAGTCTTTTTGCTTTCTGTGTTTCATTTCAGATACTTTCTGCCACTGTGTCATAATTTTACTATCCTTGTCTTCTTCAGTGTCTAACTTGCTGTGAATTCCAGTCAGTGTGTGGGTTTTGTTTTGTTTTGTTTTCATTTCAGACTTTGTAATTTCCATCTGTAGAAGTCGAGAACAATTTGTATTATTTTTATATTTTCCATGTCTTTATTTAACATGTTTAATCTTTACCTTCTTGAACATACGGAATATTTTTACTATAACTGTTTTTATATCCTTGTTGGCTAATTCTATAATCTGTGACATTTTTGTTTTGTTTTCGTTGATTGATTTTTCTCCTCAGAAAGGACTGTATTTTCTTGCTTCTTTGCATACTTAATAACCTTTCATGAAATGCTAGACATTTTGAATTTACATTGTTTGGTGCTGGATATTTTTGTATTTTTATAAATGCTCTTGAGCTTTGTTCTGGGGAAATGATTTGATCTTTCAAGCCTTGCTTTTGTTAAGTGAAATCAGAACAGACTTTAGTCTAGGGATAATTTGGCTATGCTACAGAGGAAATAGCCTTCTGAGTAGTACTCTACCAGATGCCTGTGAATTAGGAGATTTCCGCTTTGACTGGTGGGAATATGCACTCTCCCAGGCCCTATGAGGGTTTGAGGATTGTTCTCTCCAATTCTCTTGTGTGGGTTTTCTCCCCGCCTCAGGTGGTTTCCTCACATTGATGTGCTGATCAATACTCAGGTGAGCACTCTGGAGGGACCCTCTGAAAATCTCTGAAGCCTCCCTCTCCATGCAGCCCTTTCCTCCAGTATTCATCCCTGTGACTCTATCTGTAGATACCTTGCCCTTCCTGGAATTCCAGCTTCTTCTCCTCCACCTGGGGAGACTGCCAGGCTCTACCTGGGTTTTTCTTCCTGAGCTGCTGTCTTGAAATTCTCTCCAGACAATAAGCCAGGACAATGGTAGAGCTCACCTAATTTGTTTCTATTCTATCAGTAATCATTGTCCTAAGCCAGCTAATATCCAATGTCTGTAAACAGTTGTTTCATGTATTTTGCTTGGTATTTTAGTTATTTGATGTGGAAGGGTCGGGCTGATGTCAGGAACTGTGGGGGTCTAAAATTTTACCCTACTTACAAGCTAATACGTTTCATACCACAGTTTCAGAGATGCTCGCAAAAGATAAGGGATTCCTGGGTGCCTGGGTGGCTCAGATGGTTAAGCGTCTGCCTTCAGCTCAGGTCATGATCCCGGAGTCCTGGGATCGAGTCCCGCATCGGGCTCCCTGCTCCTTGGGAGCCTACTTCTCCCTCTGCCTCTCTCTCCCTCCCTCCCTCTCTCTGTCTCTCATGAATAAATAAATAAAAAAATCTTAAAAAAAAAAAAAAAGATAAGAGATTCCAAGGGGGAGACAAAGGACTCTATTACTCACAGCACAATTAGACAGCATGAACTTCATGTTCTCATTACTTTCCTTTGCATTGTGCCCCCGCCAAGTTCCACAGCATGGTAGGGAGCAGCACAGATGGATGCTGTATACACAGTAGATATGTGTTACATCTGACTTGTACTTATAAAGGGGGCTGCTAACAAATCTACCCAAGCTTTCTCTGAAGAAGGACATTATCTTTACTATCCTGGTGAGAAACAAGTCAACTTTCTGCCCTAGAGAATATACTATCTTTATATTCCAAGTTTGTTTGCTATCCAAACATCCTTGAAAAGATATTCTGTAAAAAGCTGATATAGGATGTACAGAAAGTATAACTTACGTCATTACTGTTTTTTGGGACCAGTAAGAAAATCAAAATTGCCAAGCAAAGAAAGTAAAATTGTGGCTTTGAATGAATGAATGAATGTTTTAGGAAGAATTTCAGAGATGAGGTACTTCTTTATACTGTGGAGCAGTAATTAACTCTTGCTCCAGTGGGAGAGAAACATCTACGACTCTTGGCATATGCTGGGCTTCTCAGAGTGTGTGCTTTTCACTTTTCCTTGTTGTTTTGCAGAGGGTATTGTTCCCGGGCCCCCCACAGACCTCTCAGTCACAGAGGCTACCCGGAGCTATGTGGTGCTAAGTTGGAAGCCTCCTGGCCAGCGTGGCCATGAGGGCATTCTGTACTTTGTGGAAAAGGTAAGACTCTGGGATCGACATTATTACCTCAGGTCTCTTCCTAAAGATTTCTTTAAAGAAATAGAGATTAAATTTCTATTGTGTCCTGACCTCTTTAAACCCTTATAAACTATAAACAGTCCTCACCAAAATATGTATATCACACAGAACTTTGCCTGAAAGTTCAGGGGGTTTATGGATCCCTGGAGCTCACCCATAGACTTCTAAGAGGTCCACAGACCCCAAATTAAAACCCTTTTAAGCAGAGAAATGTTCCTGAAACTAGATTGTTCATATGGCACTGTTTTCTAGACACTTTCTCTGTTTTCCTTGCTCTACTAATGGCTTTTCATCTCTCTACAACTTGTCTTCTGCAGTCAGAAATGAACATTGATGAGGGTAGATGAGCTAGAGGAATAAAAGTTACAGTACTTTCAGAATCCTGTCAAATAGCTGGAGAGTTAAAGAGAGAAAGTCCTTACATGCTGCCGCACACTTGGCTAGTACTACTCAAGTGTAGATAGTAGGGTAGGGTCAGGAATTACAAACAGCATGAGATACCGGCTAGTTCTTGCCCTCAAATATCTTACAGTTTTATTGTAATTATGTTAGAGAGGGCAGCATATAATGAAGGCCTAAAATGGGTGGGATGATGAGAATTATGTGTGACTCCATCACATACCTATATTTGAGGGCGGTTGTAGTAAGTATTTCTACCCAGAAAATGGAGAGGAGCCAAGACCTGGAAAGGATGTTATTTGGGGGAAGTGCCCAGTTGCAAGTGCAGACATATAGGAGGAACACCAGCTAGGTAAGGCATAATTGCTACAGAAAAAGGGCGTTTCAAGAGAATTTGCTTAAAATGAGGTTCAAAATCCATTTGTTAAAGTTTTGATTAAGATGTAATTGAAAAAAATGAAACAAAAGTAAGTTTATTTTATGTTATCTGTAAGAAGTTTACATTTCTATTGGCAGCCATGCACCATTTTATTTATTTATTTTTAATGCACCATTTTTTTTTAAGAACAGTGAATGAAACAATTGGCTGTACTCTTTTGTGTATTTTGTTTTTATAAAATTTTGTGATAACACGATAAGTTATCATTTACATTTTACTTTCATAGCAAAATTATAGAAAAGGTCTTTATTTGGCAAAAATATTATGTAGCTTGGTTAGTTTTCCTGAGAGCTTTTCTCTTTCATCCTTAATGGTATTCTGATCATTCAATTTCAGAACACCTATTAGGTCACCTTCCCTGACAATTATTACAAGAGAATAGATATCATAGATTTATAGGTGTGTACAAAGATGCAAACATCTGCAAATTAGGTGACAACATAAAACCAAAGGCAACTATCTTTATGGCCTTTTAGTTATTTCAGATCATCAGAGAAAATTATACTAGCACTGAAACTGCTAGGATCTGTGGTTTTCCTATCTTAATTAATAAATTTATTAATTTATTTCCTTGATAAAGACATTTAGCTCCTGTCTTTGAGGAGCATGCCTCACTTCTCCTTATCCCTAGCAAATTGGTAACAATAAATGGATTATCTCTTTAACATGCAATATGGGCATCTTTCAAAAGAGTCTGATTTTACCAAAATAATATTACAAGTTTTTATTGGTATTAATTTGTGTATTTTCTAGATGTTAGCCTCAAATTAAATATAACTTGAGTAGCATTTCTGATTTAAAATTTTTTTTATTTTTTTTTTAATAGGGGGCAAGACTAAAATGGAAAATGTTTATTTCCTGGTGTGCTTAATTCATACCCTTCACTAAATCTTTTTGAAATGCTCCACAGGAAAAGAGTTCTGAATAAGCTCTGTGACAATAATTACCATCTTTCCTACAGTAGTGACATAGTAACAACCTACCACTGAGGCATTTTCTTCAGATGAGTCAACTCTGGCTTCTGTTGAACATTTCCTCTGGTCACATAAACTCTAATTTCTCCAGGAAAATCTATCACTTCCCTAGACCTAAATGCATATGAGTCTGTGATTAAAAATTTAAGTGTTCTTCCACCAGCGAACCTATTAGTATGGAACAGAGGGAACATGTATGAGTGTACTCTGAGTAGAGAGGCCTCTACAGGCTCTGCTGACATATACAAAAGGCCCAGGATGTTGACATACTGGGGGAGGAGAACATGCCCAGAGACTAGGGCACATTTACAGAAGAACTCTCCAGACGTCAAACCATTCTACTCAGCTGAATCTCAGGTTATTTCTGATGAGCCTTTTCTAACATGTTGACCTTTCTAAAGGGCAGTGTTTCACATGCTCTTGTCCTGCAGCACGTTTTCATCCCCAGAATGATCATGCCTGTGCGAATGCTGCTTCTTCAGTAACCCTTGAGCTTGCACTTCTTTACAGAACTTGTTACCAGAAATTGCAAGCACATAAAACACAAACTTGCCTGTCATGGCTACTGCGTACTCCCGGTTACGCCATGTCTGTGAGCCCTGAAATGGCTGACATTTAATAGAGGGCATCAATGGGGCATAGAATTTGCATACAGTAAGAGACAGAGCTAGGATTTGAACCTGGGCAGTCTGGCTCAGTTTTCATATACTGTATCCAACTAGTACACATCATTGCATTTCAACCTTCCCAAGCCTGCCTTCTCTGGAAAACTTGGATAATCACACAGTGCTACCCCCACAATACTTACAGTTCAGAGCATAGTTGAGAGGATTAAAGAGTTACAATGGCATAAAGCTCTTAGCATAGTGAAAGGCAGCTATTATTTTTATTATGAAAGAACAAATGGTAATTGTTATATGTTCCCCGGTGGAGAATATGTCAAAATGAATCAAAGCCATAAACTAAAGGATTAAAGATCTGGGAGAATTTTATCCCTCAGTTAGCAGCAGATTGACTGTTTAGGGGGAATTTATCCTCTCTACCCTCCCACACACAATGACACAATCATGAAAGATTCTACAAAGGACTTTAGAGGTTACCTTGTCACATTTGCTTTTTTTTTTACAAATGATGAAACTGAGACCAAAGAATACTCACGTGACTTTCCCAAGGTCACATATCTTGTTATTAACAAAGCTAGGACCGCAATGAATGCCTCTGGGTCCTTTGCACCATACCACATTGCCTTCCATTTCAAGTCAATGAAGATTATGCCAAGCGATATATCAGTATTCTTATAGTCCCAACAGCATATCATCCTTGACAGCTGGTCACTGTATCACAAGGTTTGGATTTCTAGAAAAGTCTCTTGAAAATGTTCAGAAGTTCTGAAGCAAAATCCCTTCTACTGACCTTGGGGCAGAATTGAGAGTTCAAATAGACGGGATAAAGGATTACTGAAGACTAATCTTAGTTTTCTCACTATATTCTCTACAAAGTGCAAATCGACACCACATCCTTTCAAGGATATCAGAGTCACTCTAGATCATTTTAGTTCTAAGAACAGGATTGCTTTAAATTTAGTTTTTCCCCTCATTTATTCTAAAATATGGGGAAGAAAAAAAGAACCTCTTTAACTTTCATTAACTTCCTTCCTTCATTAATTCAGAATTCAAAAACCATTCATTCATTCAGAAAAAAAACAATTATTGATTATCTACTATGTGCCAGATACAGTTCTAGGCTCTGGGGTATAGCAGTGAACAAGACAACTCCCTGAACTCATTTCATTGAAATTTACTTTCCAATGGAGGAGATGACAAATAAATAACTTAATTTCAAATACAGTTAAGTGTTTTGAAAAAAATAAAGCAGGGTAAGGGATAGAAAGTGATGAGAAAGGAGCAAAGAACTCTTTTAGATTCTTTGATAGAATAGGGAGGGGGTGATCAAGAAGGCCTTTTTGAGGAAGTGGTATTTGAGTACAGACCTGAATGAGATTATGAGTCATTAAATAACACTCAGTTAAAATAACAGTTTATAACAATGAAAATTTAAGTATTTTATATAGCATAGTAAATCTACTTACCTACCCTAAGAATTAGAAAAGTATCTGACCCCAAACTGTCTTCAAAATAAAGTCTTTTATAAGTAGATCGATGATCTTTAGTTAATAAGTTAGTGAAGTATTAAAGTAGCATATTTGTCAAACAATCCGAAGCCATATTTGATTTTGATAATCCTCTGGACTATAGATGCTTCATCCCCAATTTCCTCCAAATCTCTTCTCCAGTTCAACTCAAAACAGGTAAGTAGTTGCTGACTGATAAATAAGACTGCTAGTTGCCTGGCTCAGAGTCGCCATCTATTCTTGCCCTCCTGTGAATGGGTCTCTCTGTTTGGGCTGCAGTGTGATGCAGAAACAGAAAACTGGCAGCGGGTGAACACAGAGCTCCCCGTGAAGTCTCCCCGCTTTGCTCTGTTCGACCTGGCTGAAGGGAAATCCTACCGTTTCCGCGTCCGCTGTTCTAACTCAGCAGGAATTGGTGAGCCCTCAGAGGCAACGGAAGTGACCGTGGTAGGGGACAAACTTGGTGAGTAAAGAGTTTGGTTGAACAACTGTAAACTGATTTTACTTCAGTTCAAGAAAAAATTCCAAAGCAAGAATCTCATTAGAATGTATCTATCCAGAAGTAAAAGTGGTGGCATCCTTCTTTCACATTATAAATGTAATTGACACCTATACCTGACTGATACGTTTTAAAAATTCATTATTATGAGTTATGAAGTTATGAAGAGTAAACTTCTCCAGGAGTTTCAACAGTATTGCTAATGTATTTTTTTTTCTGGAGTATTTAGTGTATCATTATGCCCCCAAACTAACATATGTATTTTTTAATTTTCTGCTTTAACAAATTTAAATAAAGTGACTGTATGTTTGACATGATTACCTATATAAAATTTATATATGTGTGTGTTTGTTCATATGTGATAAGAATGCATTTTTTAAAACCACCCTGAGTTGGATCATCATTTTCCTCCTTTGTCAGATATCCCCAAGCCCCCAGGCAAAATCATCCCAAGCAGAAATACAGACACATCAGTGATAGTTTCGTGGGAGGAATCCAAAGATGCTAAAGAGCTGTCCGGGTACTACATAGAGTCAAGTGTTGTTGGCTCTGGCAAGTGGGAGCCCTGCAACAACAACCCTGTGAAGGGTCCACGGTAACCACAATGTTGGGGCGGGGGATGCTATGGGGAGCCTTCTGACTCTAGAGCATGGAGGCTATGAAGAGGAAATGCACAGCAAATGAATTGTTGAGCACTACGTCAAAAACTAATGATGTACTGTATGTTGGCTAACTGAACATAATAAAAAAAATTAAAAATTTAAAAATTACTTTTTAATTTATAATAAAATTATGATCGTCCTCCCCCCAGCCACACAAGAAGAAAATGCAGCCATGGACCTATACAGCAGCACAAACATCCAATGGAGGGAGTTGGTTTGTTTTTTTAAAAACATTATACTTTAAATATCCAAATGAACTTAAAATTGAACATAATCTACTGCCATGTATTTGGAAAAAAAGGTTTACTGGTGATCTTAAACACTTAGAAACACATTAATGCCAGCTCTGATGAATTCATTTTATAGTATTTTTCTGATTTTTTTCCTTCATGCTGTTTGTCCTTTTTACCCCTCTGTTCTGGTCTTTAATATTCAGTGTGATACCAGATTTCAAGGATCCAGTAGATTCTAGCTAACATAAAGGACCCAGGCATTTTATTTTTTTAATTAATTTTTTTAGAGAGGGGTGTGGTGGAAGGGCAGGGGGAGAGGGAGAGAGAGAATCTTAAGCAGGCTCGATCTCACAAAGATCATGACCTGAGCTGAAATCAAGAGTTGGACGCTTAACTGATTGAGCCACCTAGGCTCCCCTAGGCCTTTTAAGCAAATAGGAAAAAAGCATCAACATTTTACAAATTCTGAACATGGTTAAACTCAGTGCTAAGGAGACATAAATAACACCAACAAAGGGATGTTCAGAATACTTTGCCACTTCTTTATATCTGTTTTTAATATGGAAAGGGTTATTTTTTTTCTTGCTTTCAAATATTTTATCAACCAACTTTGCAGGTTGATGTTGAATTCTGACCTGCAACCAAACTCTCAGCCTCCTTTGATTTATGACCAATCTGGAGAATTCCACCCCTCCCCAAAATTGTCAAACAGGCTTGTTAGACAGGTTCTGGCATGGCCACGTCAAAGTCCAAGGACCCCCATAGGATGAATTGTTTCTTTTGCAGAACAGGAGAGATTAGAGGCAAATCAATGAATGGGAGAAAGCAAGAGATTGCTTTTAGCCCATTTGTTCATTTCACTTTTATTGTTAAGTTCCCAGCCTTTTCCTGGGACTATTTAGAAATATTTATAGAGGGTTAGGCCGGGTCTGCCTTTCCACAAACAGATAAGAGCTGCTCAAGGACAGGCACCATTTTTTTTATTTGTCTTTGTGTCCACAATACCTAGCTCAGTGTCTGGAACACTGAAGTGCTCAATAAATATTTGCCAAACTGAGCTAATCTGAAGGATTGGCCTAATTTATGACTGCCTTCGTTAAATATTCCAACATTATTAATGGTAATAGAGTCATTAGCGGACCTGTTATTTCCTCTGGTTATAGTCTTCAGGATGGATTAAAATGTTACAGTGATTCATGAAACAGCTATTTATAGCCATAATAGCTATTAAGGAGTGAGGTTGTTTTATGTGTGAAACTGCCCATGGATTCACACCTCATTACTGGATCCTTACATCTAAATGGCAATCCATATTTCATCCTATTTTCAGATTCTAGTGTAATTTCTCAAGTAATTATACCTTCCCCGGCATGCAGGGAAGCAGTAACTAGACCTCTTTATAGAGGGGCAGCCAGTGCCTTAGAGCCATAAGTATATACCTGAAATAGCCATTAACAGTGTTAATATCACCTATTATTTATTAAATGCCTCTTATATGCCAGGCCCTGAAATAGGTACTTTAAATACTTTATGGCAAATCTTTACACAAAAATTATTATGGAGGCATTATTGTCCCCATTTTACTGATGCGCACACCAGAGGCTCGGAATAGTTAAGGTACTTATTCAGGGGAAAGCCAGGACTCTGCATTGTTTGATGGAGTGAATTTAGAAAATTGCCTTAATTAGCTGCCTTCTTGTCTAAAGCACATTAATTACCTGATCTCTGTACAGCGAATTGTTTTTATAAAGCCAGATCAGTCAGTTAGGCTAAAACCATCTTGTCTAATTTTCCCCCTAGGAAAAACTTTTAAAACATCCTTTCATTTTAGATTTACTTGCCATGGATTGGCGACTGGTCAGAGTTATATCTTCCGGGTCAGAGCCGTGAATGCAGCTGGACTTAGTGAATATTCCCAGGATTCAGAAGTGATTGAAGTAAAAGCTGCTATTGGTAAGTTCCTTATGCATAACCTGGTAGTTAAAAATGGATTTTTGTAAGTTACAAAGGAAGATACCATCCTCTCCAGAAATTGCCTAAAGCTTCTAGTATTGCTTGATGATTCCATCCTCAGATGATCATTTTCTCTGACTCCAGGTGACAGCTAACCTTCCATAGCCATCATTTTACAGATCATCATTCATCAGATTCTGTGCATCCATAGCCTTGTCATCTTCACGAGTCTGAGTTTTCTCAGATATTTCCCACTGTGTGAAACTCCATTCTAACTTCGTGCTCGTCCAGGGAATGTGGAGGGCCATCCAGTTCCTTGAAGTGGTATATCACCCATAACACAGATATTTTGTACCTAAAAGCCATTTCATCTGTGCCAAAGCCTGGCTTGTTTTCACTAACAAAACATTAACATGCTTTTTATAAACTCTAAATTTTGTGCGAGACACATGTCGTTGCTTAATCATATGCTACATCTCTGCTCTCAAAGTAACCAACAGAATAAAACTGGTAACAAAGTAATTGTGTGTATGTATATGATGTGCCTCCCAATCTTAGATAAAGTAGGGAAGGGAGGGCGCCTGGGTGGCTCAGTTGGTTAAGCGACTGCCTTCAGCTCAGTTCATGATCCTGGAGTCCCGGGATTGAGTCCCACATCGGGCTCCCTGCTCAGCAGGGAGTCTGCTTCTCCCTCTGACCCTCTTCCCTCTCGTGCTATCTCTCATTCTCTCTCTCTCAAATAAATAAATAAAATCTTAAAAAAAAAAAAAAAACGTAGGAAAGAAACCCAAGTAGTTCAGAGCACCAAAAATGAAGTCTGTGATAGAGTAACCCATATTTGAAGGGAAAGATTATTTCATACCAGTTATCTTCGGTTATCATGCCGTATTACTTTTAATATTCCTTATAATATGGACAATAGTGACAATGTTTTTTTGAGGTTGGGAGGTACAGGCCATTAATAGTTAAGTAATGTATGTAATTCTGTTATAAAATCAGGATCTTTAATGTATGCCTTGTGCACTTTATGATCTTTTCCTCCCCTCATTCTGTTGAATAATAGGACTTATATCTTTCAAAAAATGTCAGAGATTTGCTTTTTTCTTATATATACTTGGGTTCTGCAAATCAAAACAGTTCCTGTTCTGTCTGTGGTTTTCTGTTCTCATTTCTTCTTTTCCCAGAATATGGAGAAGTTGAACTGTTTCCTAGGTGTAAATTATGTGAAACGTATGCTTTCCACATTTCTTGCTAATCTGAGTGGTTTCCGTTAAACTAAGATTACTTTTGTTCTGCTTGTGGTCCTGTTTTTCCCTTTGTTCTATTAAGGAAGAGCAGTTTATACTGTGTCTGGGCTTAAAGTGTTTCTGTTGTTATCTGGTGATTATAGGGGGAGGCGTGTCTTCAGATGTGTGGCCTGAAATGAATGATACACCTGGTGGACTAACAGACTCCAGGGGAGGCATGCATGAAGCCTCCCAGCCAACCTTTAAGAAAGATGCTTTGCTTGGTAGCAAACTTAACAAACCTTCACTACCCAGTAGCGCTCACAACCTGGGCCAAACAAAAGTGAGTAAAGTAAGTGAAACAGTTCAGGAAGAGCTTACCCCATCACCACGGAAGGCAGATGTTAAGGGGAAAAGTAAGTCTGACCCTCTGAAAAAGAAGAAGGACATAGGTGAGCGTCGAAAGTGTACAACTGTTCCGTCTGTCTCCATCAGTGTCCTCACCTCATTGTCTAGATCACATTCTTCCATCTGTGTTCACTTTCATCTATGTTTATTCTTCATTTGACATGTTTTCAGCTATCCATTTGCAATACTTTTGTCTAATGAGTTGTAAAAGTAATTTTATATGAGTTTGGCTTTTATATATACTTAACTGTGCTTGATGACAATAGAATGTTTTTTTTTATAATAGAATATTTAAAGTAATTTGGTTATAGAGTTCTTTTTGGTTTCTCAGGCAGACTTACCTTTGGCCTCATTTCACTAAGAAAATTAGAGCTGAGAGCAGGAAGAATTTCACAATCACAGCCTATGTGGGGTCCTTTGAAATATTCATGTTCAATACATGTATAGGAAAAATATTTTACAAAGAAGTCACATTTTATCAGGATCATAGTTATTAACTTCTATTGTTCATCTTCAGGTTTTCAAGTTATCCTTTATATTTAACTCAAATAAATATAAGCAACATTATCTCTTTGAGGTGCCATGAAAAGTTTAACAGGGTATCATAATCACATAAAGCTAAATTCTGTGCTATATGAATCACATTCCCAGAACTGATTTATTTAAGACTATTTATCAGTAAGCTCAGAATTTTCTTTTAGGATATTTGGTACTTGTGGCTTATGTATTCTAGGAGACAGTGTTTTCTTAGCAAATAAAAATGAAATGATAAACATATACTGATACTCTACCCCCACCTTCTGTCACTTCTTTTTTTTTGAACCTTTATTGTCCCCTCAACTCAAGATGGGATATTCATTTGAGAATTCACATTCAGTATTGCTCTGTAATAGAAAGAGTAACAGGGGGAAAGTTTTGTGTTTTGTTCTTTTTTTTTAAGAATGAAGGAGGTTGGTGAGGGGGAGAGAGAAACATGTATTTTATTTTTAAAATCTTTATTGTTCTAAGACTTGAATAAGAATAAATAGTTCTTTTTTTCTGTAATCCAAATAAATATTCAGAAAACTCTTTGATGTTATTGCACATCTAGATGGATTTCTTTTCACCATCTGACCCTCTCTCTCTTTTTTTTTTAAGATTTTATTTATTTATTTGACGGAGAGAAACACAGTGAGAGAGGGAACACAAGCAGGGGGAGTGGAAGAGGAAGAAGCAGGGTTCCCACTGAGCAGGGAGCCCGATGCGGGGCTCCATCCCAGGACCCTGGGATCATGACCTGAGCTGAAGGCAGACGCCTAACGACTGAGCCACCCAGGCACCCCAAGACCCTCTCTTTCTTTATCAAAAACCGTAATATAGTAGTTGGATTAAAAGTTGATCAGAAGCCACATGAATGAAGGAAGACTTTTAAAATATCCTCCAGATATTTTTCTGGCTAGGAACTAATAAATACAGTGACAGCTATATAGTATTTTTTACTACGTGAATAACAGTTCAATATCAGGTTAAAAATAATGCAGCAGGGTGCCTGGGTGGCTCAGATGGTTAAACGTCTGCCTTCGGCTCAGGTCATGATCCCAGGGTCCTGGGATCGAGTCCCGCATCAGGCTCCCTGCTCCTTGGGAGCCTGCTTCTCCCTCTGCCTCTCTCTCTCTCTCTCTCTCTCTCATGAATAAATAAATAAAATCTTAAAAAAAAATAATGCAGCAAAAGGTATTATATACTAAGAGAAAAAATTACATGGCAGATTGTGCCTGTTGTTTTTTTTTTTTTAATTTTTTTTGAAGGTGGCATTTAGTTGAGCTCCAAATAAGATTTTTTTCTGTATGTAGACGGAACTTGTTTAGTTGTAAGGTCTCACAAGAGTATGTATGCCTGAATGGTGAAATGCTAACCGTTTGGAAATAACATGGAAATTCTCCATGAGCACCTTGAGGCAGAAATTGATATACATTACTTCATTTTCCTCAAGGAGCAAATAAGAACAAAACCACATAAAGAAGCAAAAATATATATCTTGGGGAAAATATTTCTTCTTATGGGGAACAGAATCATTTTTCAGAATATTGCACAATTTTGCTTCTGGTATTTCAAAAATTGTTCTTCCGTGGAAGTGGGGGGGCAGGTTCTTTTTATCTTTGGAATAATAATTGCAGTACGCTTTTCACTGTGTGTTGGTTTTTTTCTCATACACCAAACTGGGTGCCAAGTTACAGATCAGTCTCACATTTTAGTTTTATACTGCAAGACCCTAGTGCCCTCCCACATGGCGCGAATGAAGCAAGCTTAATGTACATAAAATCATAAATGCATTTCTGTCTACTCACTTGCTATTCATATTGCAACAGCGGCACCATCTCCTCCCTGTGATATCACTTGTCTTGAAAGTTTTCGTGACTCGATGGTTCTTGGATGGAAGCAACCAGATAAGACTGGAGGGGCTGAAATTACTGGCTATTATGTGAATTATCGTGAGGTAATTGACGGAGTACCAGGAAGATGGAGAGAAGCCAACATCAAAGCTGTCAGTGACGCGGCATATAAGGTAAATGACCTGTAGTGTGGAGTCATATATATGATGACATGCTCCCTTGCACTCACATGCACATCCACACCCACACTTGGTGCCTTGTAAATGATTCATGTCATTTCTCCGGTGTTCATTGTCTACAATGACATGACTTTTGTCAAAAATATACCAAGGTAAATAGAAGTAATCTGACTGAGCAGGAAGGATTTGTATTTTCTGATTCATACACATAAGCATAATAACTTCCTAGAATGTTCACTATAAAATGTTTACTTATAGTAAAAATTAATGGTTATTTCAAAACTTACAAAATATCCGTAACCAGTGTGCTGCTAGCTTCAAGGGTCTCAGAATCCAAATGACTGCATTTTTAATTTTCAGCGTTCAAATCACAAAGGATAATGGGACATGGGCCTGATGCCCAGCCTCAGCTCACCACCTGTGAAGGTTCCCCCACCATAGTGGCTCTGATAGCCACAAAGGGATGGTCCACATGTGTCTAATCACAAATTTCTTTTCTTCACTGCTTTGCCCATCTCAGAGTACTTGAAGGGTCTCACTGTTGCCATAGCTACAGCTCCCCTCTTTGGAGTATTGTCAGCTAGAGGAAAGTCACCCTCCAACACTCCCAGAACCCCAGGCTGTGAGGGCAAGAGCAGGGTGAGGCCGGGGGAATGACGCTTTCCCAAACTCAATGCCACAGTTTTTAAATCTAACATTTAAAACTTAAGAAATATCACACACATTCTGAACACATAAAGAATAAAACAAGAATATATAAAATAATATTGTATTTTTAAGATTCTTCCATGTTGGTGTGTAGCTATGACTTCATTACTGTATGGTATTCTATTATATGAGTGTCTCACAATATACTTTTCCATTCAGGTATCGATTGATATTTGGGCATTTTCACATTTGTAGCTATATCAAACAGTGTAGCTATGAACATTTTTGTGTATGTCTGCTGTCACATACAGGCACTAGTTTCTCTAGGTTATTACCGAGAAGTAGAATTGCTTGGCCAGAGATTCTGTTTATCTTCAATTTTAGTAGATAAGTCTATACTATTTTTCTGAAGAGTATGAGAATTCCCATTGTTGCGCATCCCTCTAACACTTGGTGTCACACATTTTCAGTTTTGACAATCTGGGTGTCAAATGAGTCTGAGTATCGTTTGCTATATATATACATACTCCATTTTGAAATCTCCATTTATAACATGCCTGTACCGAGTCTTTGCCCATTTTTCTAATAGATTTTCTTACTGACTTGTGAAGTTCTTTATATATTCTGAGCTCAAAGTCCTTGGTAGCTGTGGAAGCTGCATCTATCTTTCCTGCTCATTGGCTAGTATTTTCTTCTCCTTATGGTAACAACACTGTAATTCATGATAGCCAGACTTAACAACATTTTCTGTGTCATTAGTGATTGCTCTGCCTTTTTTTTTATTATGTTATGTTAATCACCATACATTACATCATTAGTTTCTGATGTAGTGTTCCATGATTCATTGTTTGCAGATAACACCCAGTGCTCCATTCAGTACGTGCCCTCTTTAATACCCATCATCCCCCCACCCCCCTCCCTTCTAGAACCCTCAGTTTGTTTCTCAGAGTCCATAGTCTCTCATGGTTCGTCTCCCCCTCTGACTTCCCCCACTTCATTGCTCTGCCTTTTTAATTTTTTTTTAAATGGTTTTTTGGTTTTTTTTTTAAGATTTTATTTATTTTTTTGCGAGAGAGAGAATGAGAGATAGAGAGCATGAGAGGGAAGAGGGTCAGAGGGAGAAGCAGATTCCCTGCTGAGCAGGGAGCCCAATGTGGGACTCGATCCCAGGACTCCGGGATCATGACCTGAGCCGAAGGCAGTCGCTTAACCAACTGAGCCACCCAGGCGCCCCCTTTTAAATTTTTTTTAAGAGATGCCTTTGCCTTCCAAGGTCATGGGGATATTGTACTAGATTATCTTCTAAAAGCTCTCTGGTTTGCCACTTACATTAAAGTCATTACTTCACCTATACATTTTGTGTGTGATGTAAAGGAAAGGTCAACATTCGTTTTTGCCCTGCAGGGACACCCAGTTGTCTCATCTATTGAAAAGTTTGTCCTTTTTCTACTATTCTGCTAGACTATCTGTAGCATGTATCATGTTTCTTTGATGCACGTGTCTGCTTCTGTGTTTTCTATTTTGTTCCACTGCTGTTTGTCTACCACTGGACCAGTAGTACCACATTAATTTAATCATTACCACTCATAGCAAATTTGATAACTGGTAGATCAAGTTATCTCAGTTTATTTTTTAATTCCAAGGCTATTTTTAGCCCCTTTGCACTTTGATATAAATTGTAAAACTAGGTTACCACGTTCCACCAAAAAAGGACAAGCAAAAGCAAACACAATAAACAGAATTAAACTAAACTAAAACATTTTAGAATTCTGATTGGGATTGCATTGAATCCATAAATAAATTGAGGAATAATTGACAGCTTTAAAATATTAAGTCTTCTAATACATAAACATGATATTTCTCTCCATTTATTTTGGTCTTTAAAGTTTCTCAATAAAGTTTTATAATTCTCTATAGAAGTTTTGCACATCATTTGTTATTTATTTATAGGTATTACGTATTTTCAGTGTTTAAATGGTATGTTTTTATATCATTTTGTTATTGCTGGAATAGAGAAATATACATCACTTTTATGTATTGATTTTACATATCACTGTTATGTATAGGTCTTTCCTAAATTTTCTTATTATTTCTTTAAGTTACCTAGGAGCTCTTTTTGATTCTCTATAAATCATCATATCATCTGTAAATGAGAATTTACTTCTTCATTTCCAAATTTTATATTTTTTGCTTCATTTTCTTAACTTTCTGCTTAAAATCTTTAACAAAATATTGATAGAAGTGGTGCTCTTGGTCATTCTAGATTTGATCTTTATCTTAAAGGAAAACATTTCACCATTAAGTGTTATATTTACTATCAGTGTTTGATAGACATCTGTTATCAGCTAAAGGAAGTTTTCTTCTGTTCCTAGTTAAGAATTAATTAAAATTATGAAATTTTTTTTCTGAATCTCTTGAGATGGTTATATGATTTTTCCCTTTAGTTTTGATGTGGTATATTCTAGTAATTAATGTTAAAATAACCTTGCATTCCTGGCATAAATCTAAGCTGGACATTATGTATACTCTGCCTATATATTACTGGATTTTTTTTTTTTTTTTGCTTATCGTTGTTTAGGATTTTTGCTTCTATGTTTATGAGTGAAATTACCCTGAGACTGGAGTTAATTTGATACAAATACCTGACAAGGATAGTACTGAAAGGGGAAATCGCAGGTTAATCTTACTTTATTGAGATACAATTCACATATCATAAAATTCACCCAATTAAAATGTTGCTTTATATATTTTGAAGGGATGTTATTAGATGTATACAAGTGATTTTCTGTATCACTAACAATATATTTTGCCTTCGAGTCTATATTATGTTATGAATAAAAATTTATCAATTTTCTTTTCGTTGGTGTTTGCATGGTATATAATTTTTCATCCTTTGACTTTCTATTTTTAACTTTGTGCTTTATATGTGTCTCTTAAAAATAGTATAGAGTTGGATATTTTTCCTACCTGACAGTCTTTGTCATTTAACTAGAGTGTTTAATGTTACTACTACTTTTTAAAAAACCAATCATCTTTATTTTGTGCTTTCTATTTGTCCTGCCTGTTCTGTTTCATTTTCTGTCCTTCCTTGACTACTTTTGAATAGTTACATTTTTTCCTTCAGCTATCCCCTTTTCTCCCTCTACACTACCTTGAAAGCTATAGATTCTGGGTTTCTGCGTTTGTTTTTCGTGGTTACTCTAGAAATTACAGTGAGCAAATTAACAGTCTAAATTTATTTTATTGCTTTACCCTTGTCTGAGAAAAATAGGGCCTCAGAATACCTAAGCCATTTTAGTCTATTCCCAACTTGTATGCTATTGTATATGTGCTTTTAACTCATTTTTTAATCCAAAACTATTGTTATTATTGTTTTATAGTCAATAATTATTTAAGTTTATCTAAATTATTTTAGTTAAGATTTTATTTGCTTTTAATTTCACATCTTTCACCTTCCATTTGAAATTACTTTCCTTTCATCTAAATTAAATAGTTTAGACTGTTCTTTAGTTACGGTATTCGGAAGGTACATACTCTTCATTTTTGTCTGAAAATAACTTTTTTCTTCATTCTCCAAAAAATTTTTTCTACACAAAACGTTATATAATGGTAGTTATTTTCTTTCATATTTCGAAGGTATATTCCACTGTCTTTTGGCTCGTTGTTGCCAGTGACATGTCAGCTTTTAGTCTGTTTGCTCATTTGAGGGTTTTCTTTTCTCTTAGACAGCTTTTAATATTTTCACTATCTGTTTGGTGTGCTACAGTTAAAATATTATGTGTCTAGGTATAGGTTTTAAAAAATGCCTTTGCCTAGGATTTTGGCATGAGGAGGATTTTCAATCTGTGGGTTGGATTTTTCAGGAAGATCTTTCTGGAAAATTCTAAGCCATTTATCACCTAAAGTATTGTTGCTGCCCCATTCTCTCCCTTCTTCTCTTGAAACTCTAGTTAACATGTATTTAACATTCTCATTCTGTCTTCCATGTCTATTAATCACTCTTCTCTCTTTCCTATCTTTGTGTCTTTCTGCACTGTGGTCTGTGTAATTTCTTATAACTTTCCATTGGTTTACAAATTTGCTCTTCTTTTGCATCTGATTTCCTGTTAAACACATCCATTATTTTTCTCTTATTGTATTTTTTCCCTTTTTTAGGTCACATTTTACAAAATATTTTATAGTTTGCTGTCTCCTGCAGATATTTTTTTTTTTTAATGTTTCAAGTTTTTATTTAAATTCTACTCAGTTAACATATAGTGTAATATTAGTTTCAGGATTAGTCCTGCAGATATTTTAAGTTTATATTTTATGTTTAAAACATAGTAAGCATAGCTGTTTTTCTAATCTATGTCTGATGATTCTACCATCTAATATCTTTGCAGGTCTGTATCTGTTATCATTGGTTTTGTAGTCTGGCTCATGGTATCTTGTTTACTATGCTTGGTTATTCTTGATTATGTGCTGCTCATTGTCATTAAAATATTATTTGCATGAATAATTTGAGCTTTAGGATGAAGGCATCTTTCTCTGTAGAGGATTTGTTTTTGCTTCTGCAAGGTGCCTGGGGATACCACCTGTTAAGTTTTTTCTTAAATCAAATACAAGGCTTTATTTTTTTGGACAATCAAGCAATGTGAATTTGCACTGTATAAAGGCAGGTTTATTTCTAATTCAACTTTACTCCCAAAGAGTAAAGCCCTTAATTGTAGAGGGTTCCCTTTTATTATCCCCTTTTTAGGTTGAGTCTAGGCTTTGATTTCTGAGTTCCTCTGCTTTTGAGATAATCAAAACCAAAGGTCAAATTTTTCTTTATTGGCAACTATCCCCAAGGTAAAAGCTACTTCTATGTTCCACTTATCTTTTTTGTTGTTGTTTTTTCCTATTTCCCTTTATTCTGTCCTGATAATTCTGTAACATCTTTTTTTAAAATATTTTATTTATTTATTCAAGAGAGAGAGCAAGTGAGAGAGGGCATAAGCAGGGTGAAGGGCAGAGGGAGAAGCAGAGACCCTGCTAAGTGGGGAGCCTGATGTGGGACTTGATCCTGGGACACCGGGATCATGACCTGAGCTGAAGGCAGACACTTAACCAACTGAGCCACCCAGGCACCCAATTCTGTAACATCTTAACACTAATTTGATGCTTTTGAAAAGATTTTTTAAAGATATTTTTATCTAGTATTTTGAATTTTTTAGCAAGACAATTAATCTCTATAGCCTAGTTCACCATTGCCAGAAAAAGAAGTCCCATGCCACAATATTTTACCTAAGCCTAGAATGACCAACTTTTCCCGTTTGCCTAGGACTCTCCTAATTTCAACACTATACTGCCTACATCCTTAGAAACCCCATAGTTCCAGGAAAACTAGAATGGTTGGTCATACTAATGGAGCCCCAAAACAGCCCTGTACCTGAATAAAGTACTTTTAGATCCAAGTTATCTACATGATGGTTTCCTCTTAATTAAAAAATCTTCCCTTCTTAAAGGGAATGTGTGTGCATGTGTGTGTGAATCAAAAAGGGAGTTTGTATTATTCTGTTACCATAACATATAGCCATTATATTCACCTTATACCTTAAATAACTGGCAAGACAAGCCTTCTTGCAGATGAACTTATGACTTCAAGATCAAATCAGGTGTAGACTGGATCATAGATATATACTTGTTTTGCCTTGTCTTAAGTCATATAATAGGTAAGCTTTGTTAATTCAGCTGGTTCCATCAATACCTCCATTATTAAGCATTTTTTTATTTTTTTATTTTTTTAAAGATTTTATTTATTTATTTGACAGAGAGAGACACAGTGAGAGAGGGAATACAAGCAGGGGGAGTGGGAGAGGGAGAAGCAGACTTCCCGCAGAGCAGGGAGCCCAATGCAGGCCTCAATCCCAGGACCCTGGGATCATGACCTGAGCCGAAGGCAGACAGACGCTTAATGACTGAGCCACCCAGGCGCCCCATTATTAAGTATTTTTTAAAGATTTTATTTACTTATTTGAGAGAGAGTGAGAGCATGAGCGGGGGGTGGGGGGCAGAGGGAGAGGGACAAGCAGACTCCCCTGAGCACAGATCCCAACTCGGGCCTCAATCCCAGGACCCTAAGATCATGACCTGAGCCGAAATCAACAGTTAGACACTTAACTGACTGAGCCACCTAGGCGCCCCCATTTATTAAGCATTTTTAATGCTCAAAGGATTGTGTATAGTCCATGGATTTTTTTCACACTAATATATTCCATCATTTCTATTTTGCAAATGTTTCACATTCATTACTTTATCACATATATTTACCACAACCCAATTTCTTCTGAGGGATAGAGAAAACATTGGATCACTCAATAAGGAACAGAAAAATGACAGGATTTTGAATATTTTGATTCCTAGCTTAGAATTCTTTTAATTTTCATCTGTACAAGCATCAATTTTCTATTAATTTGTTATAACACAGTGTCCATGAGTCAGGAGTCTAGGCAAGGCTTAGATGGGTCTTCTGCTTGGGGTCTAACAAAGATGTCACCTGGGCTCATTCTCCTCTGGAGCTGAGTTCCTCTTCCAAGCTGATTCAGTTACTGGCAGAATTTAGTTCTTTCAGCTGTAAGTCTGGGGCCCTCTGCTTCTAGAGGCTGCCCTTCTCCAAATTTGAGTGGCTAGGTAGTTCACAATCTGGCATTTGCTTCTTCAAGGCCATCAGGACAGTGTTCTCATCATGAAAGTCCCAAACCCCATTTTGACAGTTTTCATCTGATTAAATCAGGCCTACCCAAGATGATCTCCCTTTTGATGAACTCAAAAATCCACTAATTAGGGACTTTAATTCCATCTGTAATATCCTCTCTCCTTTTCCATATAATGGAACAATAATCACAGGACTGATATTCCAGTACCTTTGCCATATTCTCTTGGTTGGAAGCAGGTCACAGGCTTCACCCACACTCAAGGGGAGTAAATTACAAGAGGGTATAACTCACTGGAGGTCACTTCAGGGTGTGTGCAACACAGGAAGTAAGTAAACAAAATATTGAACAACTTAAAAAAAATACCTGAATCAACATCCACTCTCTGTGATATTGTCATGTTGCAGATTAGCAACTTGAAGGAAAACATGGTGTATCAGTTCCAAGTGGCAGCCATGAACATCGCTGGGTTGGGAGAGCCCTCAGCAGTAAGCGAATGCTTCAAATGTGAAGAGTGGACCATTGCTGTTCCAGGTAAATCATGAAAAACATTTCTCATCACTGAGGCTTGGGGTTTCTTTCAAAAGAACCTACAACTTGGAAGTAAATTTAAGTGCCATATAGACAGCTTCTAAGGGAAAAGAATTCTCTTTTGTTTACCTGAGATATTTTTATAATCCTATTAAATAATAGGTGCCAATATAAAACTGACTATAATTTCTTGTGCTTGTATTCCAAATAAATCCTAGAGCCCTCAGAGTTATAACTCTGCTTGGAATAAGATTAACAGAAGCACAAATCTGAGTTCCACGAGATCATTGAAAAGGAATTCTCATTTTTGTTTGTGCTTCTTAAAGACCATTGAAGAGCATTCAATTCATATCCCACAACAAAAGGTCTCAAAAACTTCTTCCTGTACTCCCTAATTCTCATGCATTCTCCCACTGCGCTGGAACCTTTCATTTATCAACCTCCCCCAAATCTCTCTCTCCAAGCTCAGCCAATGTGGCTCCTCTTCCTTGTTGTCTCTCTCCTCCCTTGCTGCTAGCTCTTTATTATATTATGTAGGCCGACTTAACATGCCTGCCTAGGACTTAACTTCTGGACTTTCTCCACTTCTCCAGTCCTTTCGATCTCTCTAAACTTTTGTCTCAACTCTGCATCACAATAAATTTCCTATTCTCCTTTGGAGGTTGCCATAGTGGGTAGTTGACTGAACAGGGAAGAAAATGGGGAGAAGGTAGAAACATTTACCTGTGCTTTTTAAAACACAGTGACAACACTGAATGAATTAAAAAATTGAATACAAACAAATTTACTAAGCCATTAAGTTTCAAACTAGCAAGACATTAATATATTTGGTGGGTGTTTTTATTTTGCTTCCAACAGTACCAACTTCACAGACCCAATGAGTGCCACAGGATGACTAGATTCTCCCACTTGGGTTTAATATTCAACATACGTAACAACTGGTATAGCACCAGTATCGACCACATTAGAACACAAGGCCACACTGGAGCATACTGGATAGATCCAGCCCTGTCCCTGATGCCACCCTCTTCCTCTACTTGAAATGCTAGTGCCCTTGAAGAACTATTTTTGCCTTTGCTTAGAAAGCTTCTGTTTGCATCACTTCTCCATCAAGTGTGAATAAAAAGATGACAAGAAAAACCCAAGAGAAGTTCAAGCACTCACTCAACTTCAGTAAATATACAGGGCAAACATGCTGCCTTTCCTTGCACCTCCTTTAAGCCAGTTAGTATTTCTTAAGCTCTTTCTCTCACCTACACAAAAGTGTATCTGTTTTTAAATTCTTGCAATTCCTGAATAAAGTTAAAATATGAGTGACTAGAGACTAAGAAATTCTGAGCAGGCTTGTGGAAAATGTTTTGATTGAAAGAGATGTAGTTAGCAAAAGAGGTTGTAGGGTGAGTGCTACCTGTTTGGATGCCTCGTGGGGTTCTGAGGATGGCACAAGAAAATGATTTAAAATCCTCTTTGCGAAACAGAACATGACACACTATTATAAGGCATTGATGTTATTATTTAAATCTATTACCACGTTATTTAAACCTCTTACCTTGTCGGAAGGCAAGGATGACACATACCCATGACTGGTAAGCCAAGGGACAGGGCCCCACAAATATTGAGCTATTAATTGCAAAAAGCATCGCATAGCATATGTTTGTAGCTGGCTTTTAGGGCACTGTGAGTCAGTTCAGGGGATTTTGATTGGTTGGTTAGAAATCAGTTATTTAAAAGAAAAAAAGGTCAGGAAAAAAGAAAATAAATATATCACCTACATAGCAGCTGGTGGTCATGGAAAGATGTGGGAGATCACTTAGTAGTTTGGATTCTCCCAAGAGTGCAAAGAGCACATGGGCAGGGAAGACATTTGGCTTTCTTCCTAAACAGGTTGATCAAGTTACTTGGCTTCTTTGAGTTTTCTGTTGTCTTAAGGATAAATGAGATAAATAAATATAAAGTACCTAGCAGTGTTTAGCTAGGACCCATGGGATCGATTGTATTTGTTTTGGTGAAAGTTCTTTGTAAACTGTAATTGTAGTTTGTTTTTACTCCTAGGTAGAATATATGCTTTATGGAAAAGATTTCCCTCCAGAGGGGAGCTATTTTGTAATATATTCCTTTTTCCTGTAAAAGAAATATTACTATCTATATTCATGTGCCATCAAATAGGGTTGCTTTCTTCATCCTCATTTGAGATTTAGGGGAATTTGCAGATTACCATCCAAAAATAATCTGAAACTGAATCTGCAACCAAATTAAGCTGTTCTTGATAAAAGATGAGGACCACAAGCCCAGGGAGACCCTGAAGGCAAGTTTTCATCCAGCCTCGGAGTCGGGGACACCTTGAATTGGCTCTGACCACCTGCTGCCCAGAAAGGGACTTAGTAGATTGATGTAGAGCCATTGAGGAAACTTGACACAAAATGACCACAAAATACCTATTTCTACAGGAATGGTAGATTTCACAAAAGAACACTGGATTCAGCTTTAAGACTTCAGATGTGGTTCTAGATTTACCCGTATTTGCATTTTGTCGTCTACGTTACGATTTGTATACATTGGTCTCTCTGTCTCTTTTTCAGGACCCCCACACAGTGTCAAATATAGTGAAGTCAGGAAAACTTCCCTGGTTCTGCAGTGGAAGCCTCCTATCCACTCTGGAAGGACTCCGGTCACTGGTTACTTTGTGGACTTAAAGGAGGCCAAGGCCAAGGATAGCCAATGGCGAGGACTCAACAAGGCAGCTATTAAAAACACGTACCTGAGGGTAAGAGGGTGCTCATATTTTGAGAAACCTTTTTTAAAAGATTATTTATTTATTTATTTATTTGAGAGAGCGAGAATGAGAGAAAGAGAGCACATGGAGGGGGGAGGGTCAGAGGGAGAAGCAGACTCCCTGCTGAGCAGGGAGCCCGATGCGGGACTTGATCCCGGGACTCCAGGATCATGACCTGAGCCAAAGGCAGTCGCTTAACCAACTGAGCCACCCAGACGCCCGAGAAACCTTTTTTTAAAAAGAAGAAATGCTCCCCGAATGATATTAACTTTAAAGTTAGCAAGATAAAACACAACATTTCTGCTGTGGTCTATTTCATATATTGGGCTCCTGGTAAGATTCCATTTAGCAGTGGTTGGGGTTGGGGGGAGTTTCTGGTGCTTAAAGCAATTTGTTTATATTTAACCTGAATCCCTTAGCCTAGCTTCGGAAAATATTCCACAAGCTCCCTCCCCTCTGTTCTTTCCCTCCTTGCCTCTACTTACCCACCTCACATTTTTGTTACAGTCTTAGAAAGGTGACTTTCTCATTTCTTTCTCTGATTTTTTTTTCCCCGAGGATGGTTTTTGATTTGAGGGTGTTATTTTCATAGCATTCATGCCAGCAAGGCTTTACCTGCTGATTCCTTTGGGTCATGCTCTGTCTCACTTCATGGGCTCCCTCATGCTTATGCTCATGTGAGCACCCAGAGGCTAGTGGAATGGGTTCATTCAACTCGGACCTAATCCTCACCCTTATCCACACCTTTGCCTTCCAGATTCCTCTAAAGTGTTCTAATTGAACAAATTCCTAACTTCATCTACCAGAGACTGTTCTGCTAAAGCCACTGAATCTCACTTGTAACAAATGGATATCTCAGAAGAATGTTTTCTCCTGTGTCAGCAGTGACACCTGGAGACCCTGAAATCCACACTAGGGCTTCAGAAACTGTGGGAAATATGATTCTGACCCTTATGACTTAGAATGAAATGTGGCTTCCCCACAATCATACAGAAAGTGGCACACTGCATTTCGTTTGCAGCCCAATCTGTTGCCAGAATAAGCCACTGCCTAGAGGGTGTGAGCCTTGGAAGATACTCAGAGTATGCCTGCTCTGAAAGTTCTCTCCCATTGACCCGCCACTGTGGACTAAAGTCCATGCCATCTGTCAGCCACTCTCCAGGGTTGAGGTATTTACTGTCCCCATAAAAAATATAAATATATCCTCCAAGAGAGATGACCTTTAAATATACCATTAACTCATCTTAGCATATGCCAGTGAGCTCCCCAGCCCCATACAAAACCTTGAGGAGGTAGGAAAGGTCACAATTCATGGGGAAGAGAAAAAGGTGAAGGAAGGTCAGGAAGTTAGCATGCTCTTTCGTTGTCCAAATGAGTCAGGAGGCCTCTAGATTCAAAGAAACTCCCAAAGGACAGTGTAAAATAAAAGTCAGACACATCCTGGATGGTGATGGTGTGTATTTATGGCCAGGATAATTTCCAAATCTTCAATTTGCCGCAGCACAGGATCCCAAGAGCTGAGGCTGGACTTGACTCAGGTTAAGCAAAACAAGGATGAGAAGCCAAGCAAAGGGGACCAACAACCCAGAAAAAAATGGGCGGGAAGAAAAAAGTAATACAGTTTAAACATATCAAAGAATGGTTAAGTTCACTCGTTTGAAAAAAGAAAAAGAAGAGAGGCGAATATAGGAAAGAGGGAGAGAGATTGACATTGAGGTTGAATGTGCCTCACAAACTGGGAGGTGAATTTCCTGTAAGGAAATTATCTTAGAGTTTGTCCACAATTTTTTTTTTAAAGATTTTATTTATTTATTTGACAGAGGGAGAGATAGTGAGAGCAGGAACACAAGCAGGGGGAGTGGGAGAGGAAGAAGCAGGCTCCCAGCTGAGCAGGGATCCCGATGCGGGGCTCGATCCCAGGACCCCGGGATCATGACCTGAGCCAAAGGCAGACACTTAACGACTGAGCCACCCTGGTGCCCCATTTGTCCACAATTTTTAAAGTGAAAATAGACTTACTGACTTTTCTGACTATAAAACGACACATGCTCATGATGAAAACTTCAAATAATATAGGCATAAAGAAGTAGAGATGACCTATAATCTTCATACCTATTGTGATATAGATTTACTCTTCTGGATGTTTTATATTCAGAAAAATTTTAGGCCTGAGGTGGAGAAAAAAATGTACATATTAAAAAGTTTAATCTGGTAACCTTAAGTGAGGACGGGAGATAGAGTTCCATGAATGGGAGAAGTTGAACTCTACAACGAAATTGTATGTACGAAGGAAGAACACTTCTGTTTAAATGACATGGAGCACCCATCACTTCTATGCCTGCTTCTTCCAGGTACAAGGCCTCAAGGAGGGCGTCAGCTACGTGCTCCGTGTCCGAGCCGTCAACCAGGCAGGTGTTGGCAAGCCGTCAGACCTTGCTGGGCCTGTTGTGGCAGAAACCCGTCCAGGTGGGCTTTTACACTTTCATTAAAATTAATCTCATCTGTGTAAGATACCAAAGCAACATTCAATCTTACTCTCTATGTTTTTCCTAATTTTTGAAATTATCGATGTCTGCTATCTGAATAGTTGATAAGTTTGGCCTGCGGACGTGAGTCATTTATTGCATCATAGGCACTCTTAGGACGGGTAAACCAGGTTTGAAGTGATCCAGGGTTATTCTGGTCTATACCTAAAAACGGGGAAGTTCTTGATCAAATTATGTTTCCTGGACTGACCATTTCAAGCATACATTCTGGGACGTTATTCCTATTACTATACTGTGGCCATTAAGTCCTACAAGGATATTTTCCCAGTTGTAGGAGAAGCTAGACAGCTTAGTGAACAAGCATGATTCTTAAACGAAAGCGGAATTTATATAATTGTAGCTATTAAGTTAAGCGAGGGGTCAGCGAATGTTTTCTGTGAAGGACCAGATAGTAAATATTTTCAGCTCTGTGGCCATATCGTCCCTGTCACAATACTCAACTCTGCCATGGCACAAAAGAAGCCATAGATAATACATAAACTCATGAGCAGGCCTGTGTTCTAATAAAACTTTATTGTGCCAGTTATATGCATTATATATTACATGTAATATGAAATTTAAATTTTAAGTAATTTTCACCTGCCTTGAAATATTAATTTTCTTTTGATTTTTTTTCAACTGTTTAAAAATGTAAAAACCATTCTTAGCTTGCAGTCCATACAAAAAGAGGCAATGGGCCAAATTTAGCCTGCAGACCATAGTTTGCTGACCCCTGGGTAAAACTAACAGTAGTTTTAACTGGATGATCTATAGAGTGGCAGGAACTTTCACTTCCCAATTTAAAGAGATGCCATGATTGGACTAAGGAAGACAGTCTTCCCTTTTATTATGTGAACAAACTTTACAGTGTTCACTGTGCAAATAGTTTCATATTATTACATAATAATTATTTATTTTGTCATTTAAACTCTGTTGCTTTTCAAAGTTATATATTTCAGCTCATAGAAGTTACATTAAGGAAAGCACTATAATGGTCAGCATAGGGAATATAGGCAATCATTTTGTATACTTTGTATAGTGACAGGTGGTAACTAGGCCTGTCAAGGTGATCACTTCATAAATATTGAATCACTACATTGTACATGTGAAATTAATATAATATCGTGTCAGTTATAAATCAATAAAAAATAACCTTTAAAAAAGCATTGGAAATGAGAGAGGATAAAAACGTATTAACCAGTTATTTTAAGTTTGCCTTCATTATAGTCCAAGCATGTTCACTTCAATACATCTCGATTTTCAGATTAAAATAAAGAGTAGATATATAATGTGGTATTTATTTTTATGATAAGGAAAGAAAGTAAACATAGAAACTTTTGCTCTCACTGCATATTTCTTGAAAAGTATGTCAAAAGTATTCTTTTAGGAAGTATCTACCCTTCTCATGCTATTACTTCATAACCTACTTTCAACTACTCTTATAACTACCCTCTAAGACCTGGGTGTGAAAAATGACCTTATACACAAGTGTGGAAGTTGTCTGGAGAAAGTGCCACACCTCATATAAGTCCCTTTTGCAAAATTTCATGAGAAAACAGGAAAACGCTAGGCACATATACACCAGGTAAAAGGCAACACATGAAGACACCAGGATATATATTCATATAGGAATCAGACTCTGAAGTTGCCAGTTGTAAGGAAATAGAAACAAATGGACGTGCAAAATGATCCAACTGCAGACTCTTAATAAGAACAACATTTAGGTCACCATAGAGGTAAACTCTTCACCTAATCATCAGTCGGCTAAAAGCACCCTTGAGGCAGTGGATTCCAAATCTGATTAACTGAAGAAAGGTTAAATTGATTTCTTATTTTCTCATCCATAGCCTCAGAATGGCAGGTGGCCAGGCATGACATTAATAAAACTACCACTATGGAAGTTTTACCACCAGAAAATGATCTTCTGACGAGCTCGTGGGCGAAGAGTTTTGTTTCACTGATTTGGAAGTCATTTTTTGTGATCCTTCCATTCCCAAAATATAACTACAAAGAACAGCTGCAGACATTGATCCACAAAACAGCACCAGATGAAGCCACTCTTTGGCTCACAGCCTAGGAAAGAATCCTAGGATGTACAAAGTCAAAGTGCTTCAGCATGAAGGAGCACCAAAACCCAGGAGACACATGGACTTGTCTATATGCAACAGGCACATTCATTCTTGGGACGTACATTTCTTAAGCAGCTATGATGTGTCAGCACAATATGTATGGGCAACAGGAGCAGAGGAATACGGTATCATCACTGTATACCAGGCTTACAATCTAGGTGGAAAACTCAGAGCTTACAACATGGTGTGTGATGAGAGCTATGATAGATGTTCATAAAATATTTCTCATACCCCAATAGGCTATAAACTGGGGTTTCATAGTCCCTGTAAAAACTTACATGTAGTGTAAAGTTGTCTGTATTTAATAATTTTCTTAAATACCAATATTTTACTTTTACCCAGATATTTATTTTATGTTAGAATGGATAGGGCAGGGGTGGGGAGGCATGTTACCAATTTCAAGATTTGGGATGCGAAATTTGGATTGCTATTACAGAAGAACAACTTCTTTTGGAATCTATTATTAAAATTTCAGAAAATAAAGCTCATCGTGTAACAGCAAGCCTCAAATAGGTCTAACAAGATATCGCAACTGTAATCTGAATTTGAGTTGAAAGTTAACTTAATCCACCAGGGTTGGGAGGATCACTGGTCTCCCTTTGAAGTCAATGAATATGCCAGCAGATGTAGCTCAGCCCCTGCCAGAATGTCCAGTTGTTCTGCCAATGAGGACCCAGAAAAATGAACCTGGTGTATCATGCTTTACCAAGAAATCTATTAAGCTAAAAAAAGCCTATAAGAAGAATAAGCTGAAAAACATTTAGTGTAGATTTGTTGGTATATAAAGGGTACTTCTGTTCTTGATATTTGATATTTTTCGAATAGTATCTGTGTTGATTGCATCAAGCCTGGGGTGGAAGGCGAGGCAGAGGCAAGGTGAGCCAGATCAGATGGGAGATAAAAGAAAGACGTGCCAAGGTGTGGCAGGTGATCTGGAGGGCAACAAATGACTGGCGGTCCGGGCTACAGGTATTGTTACCAGAGACTCGGCAGCAGGCAGAATTCAGGCGATGCACAGGAGGGCCCAAACACAAGGCAGAGTCCCAAGCAGAAACCGGCTACCAGAAGTTAGGACTTGGTCTCTTAGGAGCAAGGCAGGTTAGAAGAATGCAACACTAGAAGGAATGATTGAGTTAACAACCTCCTAACCAATTCCAGTTTCTGAAAACTGGTTGGTCATAGAACCTGGCAGGACTGAGAGGCAAACGTGTACTCAGTCGCCTAGAGGTGGAGTCTTCAAGGATTCAGAGCAGGAAGCCAGGCTGCCTGTTAAGCTCAACTGGCTTCAGTTAGAAAATTTCCCTTGTTTTTGTTATTGACTGTTCTCTTTCACCCATTAAAACAGTAGTCCTCAACCTTGGCTGTACATGAGAATCATGCCAGGAACTTTTTTGAAAATACTGGCTCCATCCAGACTCCACTGCAGACCAATTATATCAGAATCTCCAGGACTGAGCATGGGTTCATTTTTGTTTGTTTGTTTAGCCACTTGGGTAATTCTAGCATGAAACCAGGGTTGTGAACTTTGCTTTACACTGTGGGCTCCTTCAAAACAGGAACCGTGTGTCTTTTCTCCCTGTATGCGAGGGCCTAGTACCTGGTGTGTGGTAGTCATTTATTAAATGAAAAAAATAATGGATGACTACCATGTTTTGGCCAGTGAGTATGACTCTGTTTTATAGCCACAGTGTGTAAACTTAACTCTAGGTATTTTGTAATGGAGGCCATGATGTGGGTACCAAAGTGGTAGGTCAGCCAGCAGTTTTGGTCTTAAATATAGGGGAGCTAAATATCACATGTGGCTGATTACATTAATTCAATTCTATCTGCTTCTATTCTGTCCCATTCTCCAGTTTTTTAAACATCGCAGGAGCACACACATACACACACACACACACCATGGAAAAGGACAAATAATGAAAGCTTGTAAAAACAACCTATTAATGCTGATGTAAGAGACTAAATTATGTGAGAAAAATTTGCATATCAGTTTATGAAATATATAGGAATATGAACAGTTTACTGTGATTTCATTTTAGCTTTCAAATTTTATTTTTTTTTTAAATCATTTTTTGGAGAGAAGGGACAGTTAATTTCCAAATCATTCATTTTAGCCCTGGGCTGTACCTTAACTCATTCACGTACTGGGTGTGGTGGCACGCCTGAAGGGACCATTAAAATGCCATTACACACAATCTGGTATCCCCTTGTGTCCATATCAAGGATTTGTGTAGGGTAGGGTTGAGGTAGCAGACTCAAGACAACTCTTCTTCAGTCCTTTTTAGACCACAATAATCTCTTTCAATTTTCTATAGCCAAATCTCCTGTGTTCTTACCTGAATTCTTCATGTTCTTGAGCAGATTCAAAGGTCGTTTTTGAGAAAATCTAGGTCCGGACAGATTTTGCTCCAATTTTCCAACCCAACTCTGTGGGAGAGTGGGATGGCCTTTCATCCAGATGAGAACATCCATAGGGAAGCTTTGACTTTGACAGCAGAATAGCAAATTTACTGCCTGCCAGTTAAGTATCTGAGCCATTTTGATCATACATTAATCAGCTTTAGAGAATATAGCTCTTCAGATATTTATGAGTTCAGCCATGAAGTGACAGTAGCTCTGTGCTTGGCAAAAACTCAATTAGGCCATGGGACACTCTGAAAAGAAAATTTGAGGGCGCCTGGGTGGCTCAGTTGGTTAAGTGACTGCCTTCGGCTCAGGTCATGATCCTGGAGTCCCAGGATCGAGTCCCACATCGGGCTCCCTGCTGAGCAGGGAGTCTGCTTCTCCCTCTGACCCTCTTCCCTCTCGTGCT